GTTGTCCTGTTGGAAGGTGAACCTTCGCCCCAATCTGAGGTCCTGAGCGCTCTGGAGCAGGTTTTCATCAAGGATCTCTCTATTCTTTGCTCTGTTCATCTTTGACTCGATCCTGACTAGTCTCCCAGTCCCTGCCGCTGAAAAACATCCCCACAGCATGATGCTGCCACCACCATGCTTCACTGTAGGGATGGTGCCAGGTTTCCTCCAGACGTGACGCTTGGCATTCGGCCAAAGACTTCAATCTTGGTTTCATCAGACCAGATAATCTTGTTTCTCATGGTCTGAGAGTCTTTAGGTGCTTTTTGGCAAACTCCAAGCGGGCTGTCATGTGCCTTTTACTGAGGAGTGGTTTCCGTCTGGCCACTCTACCATAAAGGCCTACAGTGAGGGAAAAAAGTATTTGCCCACTGACAAAGAAATGATCAGTCTATAATTTTAATGGTAGGTTTATTTGAACAGTGAGAGACAGAATAACAACAAAAAAATCCAGAAAAGCGCATGTCAAGAATGTTATAAATTGATTTGCATTTTAATGAGGGAAATAAGTATTTGACCCCCCTCTCAATCAGAAAGATTTCTGGCTCCCAGGTGTCTTTTATACAGTTAACGAGCTGAGATTAGGAGCACAGTCTTAAAGGGAGTGCTCCTAATCTCAGCTTGTTACCTGTATAAAAGACATCTGTCCACAGAAGCAATCAATCAATCAGATCCAAACTCTCCACCATGGCCAAGACCAAAGAGCTCTCCAAGGATGTCAGGGACAAGATTGTAAACCTACACAAGGCTGGAATGGGCTACAAGACCATCGCCAAGCAGCTTGGTGAAAAGGTGACAACAGTTGGTGCGATTATTCGCAAATGGAAGAAACACAAAATAACTGTCAAACTCCCTCTGCCTGGGGCTCTATGCAAGATCTCACCTCGTGGAGTTGCAATGATCATGAGAACGGTGAGGAATCAGCCCAGAACTACACGGGAGGATCTTGTCAATGATCTCAAGGCAGCTGGGACCATAGTCACCAAGAAAACAATTGGTAACACACTACGCCGTGAAGGACTGAAATCCTGCAGCGCCCACAAGGTCCCCCTGCTCAAGAAAGCACATATACAGGGCCGTCTGAAGTTTGCCAATGAACATCTGAATGATTCAGAGGAGAACTGGGTGAAAGTGTTGTGGTCAGATGAGACCAAAATCGAGCTCTTTGGCATCAACTCAACTCGCCGTGTTTGGAGGAGGAGGAATGCTGCCTATGACCCCAAGAACACCATCCCCACCGTCAAACATGGAGGTGGAAACATTATGCTTTGGGTTGTTTTTCTGCTAAGGGGACAGGACAACTTCACCGCATCAAAGGGACGATGGACGGGGCCATGTACCGTCAAATCTTGGGTGAGAACCTCCTTCCCTCAGCCAGGGCATTGAAAATGGGTCGTGGATGGGTATTCCAGCATGACAATGACCCAAAACACATGGCCAAGGCAACAAAGGAGTGGCTCAAGAAGAAGCACATTAAGGTCCTGGAGTGGCCTAGCCAGTATCCAGACCTTAATCCCATAGAAAATCTGTGGAGGGAGCTGAAGGTTCGAGTTGCCAAACGTCAGCCTCGAAACCTTAATGACTTGGAGAAGATCTGCAAAGAGGAGTGGAACTCTTTGCAGATCTGTGTGCAAACCTGGTGGCCAACTACAAGAAACATCTGACCTCTGTGATTACCAACAAGGGTTTTACCACCAAGTACTAAATCATGTTTTGCAGAGGGGTCAAATACTTATTTCCCTCATTAAAATGCAAATCAATTTATAACATTTTTGACATGCGTTTTTCTGGATTTTTTTGTTGTTATTCTGTCTCTCACTGTTCAAATAAACCTACCATTAAAATTATAGACTGATCATGTCTTTGTCAGTGGGCAAACGTACAAAATCAGCAGGGGATCAAATATTTTTTTCCCTCACTGTAATTGGTGGAGTGCTGCAGAGTTGGTTGTCCTTCTGGAAAGTTATCCCATCTCCACAGAGGAACTCTAGAGCTCTGTCAGAGTGACCATTGGGTTCTTGGTCACCTCCCTGACCAAGACCCTTCTCCCCCGATTCTCTAGGAAGAGTATTGGTGGTTCCAAACTTCTTCCATTAAAGAATGATGGAGGGCACTGTGTTGTTGGGGACCTTCAATGCTGCAGAATTTATTTGGTACCCTTCCTCAGATCTGTGCCTCGACACAATCCTGTCTCTGAGCTCTACGGACAATTCCTTCGACCTCATGGCTTGGTTTTTGCTGTGACATGCACTGTCAACATTTTATAGACAGTTGTGTGCCTTTCCAAATCATGTCCAATCAATTGAATTTACCACAGGTGGACTCCAATAAAGTTGTAGAAACATCTCAAGGATGATCAATGGAAACAGGATGCACCTGAGCTCAATTTCGAGTCTCATAGCAAAGGGTCTGAATACTTATGTAAATAAGGTATTTCTGTTTTCTATTTTTAATAAATGTGGTAACATTTCTAAAAGCCTCTTTTCGCTTCGTCATTATGGGGTATTGTGTGTAGATTGCTGAGGATTTGTATTTATTTTAGAATAAGGCTGTAATGCAACAAAATCTTGAAAAAGTAAAGGGGTCTGAATACTTTCCGAAGGCACTGTATATCTAGGAGATTTTTTAAATTATTTTTTTACACATATTTAACCCCTTATTTTTGTTGGCACAAAACTACATCCATACTTCCATTCATTTGTATGGGTTACCTTCAGATAAGTCCTGAGACGCTTGTGGGGGTAATAGAGCAAAATGGAGAACACCATGAAGTTCGTGAGAGTCTAATCTTTCCATACAGTGGTCATTAGTTCGTAGCCCAAAACGTTCGGACACTACAGACATTTTCGTAAGAAGACTGATTTTCGGGATGTCTCCTGGTCTGACAAACAGCTGTAGCTCTGTCACTTTCCATGGCAGATGCGTATGGGCAACATAGGCCTCTGTAGCCTCTGGTCCTCTGTAGCTCAGCTGGTAGAGCACGGCGCTTGTAACGCCAAGGTAGTGGGTTCGATCCCCGGGACCCCCCATACACAAAAAAAAAATGTATGCACGCATGACTGTAAGTCGCTTTGGATAAAAGCGTCTGCTAAATGGCATATGATATTATTATTATATAGGCGGATGTGAGACACAGCCCAATTTCTCTAGCTTAAACTGATTGATTTTGATGGGGATTTTTGTATTATGTTCATTAGATTGACACATGGGTGCGTCAATAGACTCAGTCTGTTCAATCACTGACAAACACACACAGAGACTGGAGTTACAGGCAAAGCCAGTTTCAAGAGAGCAGTTAAGCTGGCTCATCCACTCAGACAGACATGTCTGTCTGTCTCTATGTGTGTGTGTGTGTGTGTGTGTGTGTGTGTGTGTGTGTGTGTGTGTGTGTGTGTGTGTGTGTGTGTGTGTGTGTGTGTGTGTGTGTGTGTGTGTGTGTGTGTGTGTGTGTGTGTGTGTGTGTGAAAGAGTATGTGAAATAGTGAGAAGTCTAAATAAATGTACAATTGAACTATGCTGAATCATTGTTTAATCAATAACCACCATGATGACGGTATAAAGATTATATTCATATGCAGTTCCACTACTAGGATAACATCATCAGTGCATCACTGTCCATCAAAGAAAACCAACATTGAAATAGTTGAATTCATTTGATATACTTTCACGCTGAGAAAAACTGTGTTTCAGTGACACACACGAGAGAATGCAAGAATGTTTGCCCCCTCTGTACACGCGCTTGTAGGGGTTGAGAAGTAAATTTGACCCGTGGACAATGCTGTCATTCTGATAGCTCTGGTCCAGCCCCCTTCAAAGAAAGAGTGATTAACCAGTCCACGATACCTAGGTACAATACCGCCCTTCATGGAGAACGGCGGGGCTTGTCAGCAATGTAACTCTCAACAAGCAGCCATTTATCAATGGTAGACTTACATTAGCCCTGCGATAAGCCAGGAAGCCCAAACCATGCTAAGTCAATTGTGTGTAGTGTGGTTCATCATAATTAACTGGTAGAGCTACAAGAATGTCTACAAGTTATTTCTTCAAATACTTTAAGTATAGAATTATGGAGGGATATCCAAAAGATATAACAGAAATCAGAAAGATGATACGAAAATTATCTGTATTTTTCAAATTGACATTACCAATACGGCTAATATAGGCGAATTTAAAAAAGCATGATGAATAGGGAGCTTTATTTACTCACAAAGATGGTTCAATAATAATCAATTCGGGACAATTCGATACAAAGTGATTTTCGTATCAGGTTAGGAGAGCATTTTCGCTAACCCTAACCATTTTCCTAACCCTAACCTCAGTCTCCTAACCTGCTATGTTAATTATCCTTACCTGCTGCGTAAGTTCTCCTAACCTGCTACGAAACAGTCACTTCGTTATCGAAGTGGAGTGAATAGTTTTTCCCTAATCAATTAGTGCCAAGTACTACTTTGTAGACTTTACGCAGACAGTTGTGGAGTAGCCTACAGACGGCGCATTTGTCTCTGGTTGGTTCAACGACAGTATCTTGTCCAATCAGTGACTACTACGAATATTTTACACATTAGAGAGGTTGAAAGATTGTAAACTCTGTGCCAAACCGATTTACACTTACCCTGTACATAGCCTATATTTTTGTCAATAGGCCTATGAGTAGGCTTTTTACGTTTCGTTTTTCTGTAAATTAAAGGAATGTATTAATCAATTCGACTCTGCAAAGAAAACGTTCAAGATTGAGGACTCTTCAGTCCAAATGTGTTTACTTTACCTGTTCTCTTTGAGATACTGTACATAGCAGGGGATACATTCGAAGACTTAACCTGGAGAGCACTCTTCTTGACATTTTTACATTTCAATGATTTCTTCGACTAACAATTCATGAGCAGGGGGAAACCGTCGAGGGTAGTCGATATTGTACATCTCTCCCAGCTCGTAATGTTTGATAAATTGTGTCTACTGTCGGAATGAGGGGACTCCGGGAGATGCTCTCGCTGTGCGTCGCGCTACCATGGCTCCAGTTCACCTGCGCTCAAACCCAAGAAGGTAGGTTTCGTGCCTGTATTGCACTCGCCGTCAAATTGATTAGACTTTCTCTCAAATGATTTCCTATTCCCCCGATAGTGCCCACATTTCTGTTTAGAAAAACGTATTGTGAAAATGAGGATTCATTTGGGAATTGGCCCCAACGTTTCTCATTCTGTGGGATACCTCATTTACGCCCCAAGAAAGTTGCCTATTACTTTGTCAATAATCCCAATGTGTTTTGTGTTTTTTTAGGAGGGACCAATCCCACAGTGTTGTGTACATAACATAGTCAATATGCCATCACTTGTCCTCACCTAAATCGGTGCTGTCAATCTGACCCTAGAGACAAAACCAGTTTCATACAGTCAGCCGACTTTCAAAATAGTGTGCTTGAATGTCAATGTCAATTGTGTCTGTGTTTATTTTGTGTGTTATCGCTTGTCATGCAAGTTGTTAAGGAAAAGCAACTCATCCCTAGAAACGTATCAGAAAAATATGTTTCTATGTTTCTTTTCTGTTCTTCTGTCTCTTTCTCACTTTGCACCTCAAACAAGTGTTCTTGGAAAATACTTTCAAATCTGTGCAGTGTATTCACCTGGTATTCACAGTGAGTCAGGTGTGAGTGTGTATAGCCTCCATGTTAGAGTGAGGTGTTGTGATTTGAATCACAAACAACCGCGAACACTGGCTGAACTTTGCCTCTGTACTTATGTCACCCGGCTGTAGGTAAATAAGGTGGTGCAGTGCAGGAGGAAAACAATGTAAACAACAGGTCAGGACGCAGGTGATCCCCATCAGGTGACGGTCAGACTGGCCCTTTGGCATCAGTGGAGGATAATAGGCTGAAGTAAATAGACTCATACTGTACATGTCAGGCAACAGTACAAATATAATTAATGTCGATTTTGATCAGCATCAGATCAATATTTTATTTCCTCTGCAGTGCACACTATACTTATTTCAATGTATTCTCTAGAGATCTATAACTCCTCATCAATATAATATGCCATTTAGCAGACGCTTTTATCCAAAGCGACTTACAGTCATGTGTGCATACATGTTTGTGTATGGGTGGTCCCAGGGATCGAACCCACTACCCTGGCATCACACTTTATTTACTGAGGGACAACTGCTCCTATATATAACACAGGTTGGCTCCTGTCCTAAAATGTATCAAATCAAATTGAATGAAATATAATTTGATTGATGGACTGGTTGATTAATTGTCCTATATGTGACCATGGGCACTGGTCAAGCAGTGCTTTGTTGTCTTAGCCGTCGGGGATATGGCACAGAGCTCAAGATTACAAGGCACTGTGTGCCATAAACTCATATCAGGGTTCAGAGATAACGATAACTGCCATGTCATAAAAATATACCAATTACAACACGTTCTCAGGCATCTCTGAAGCTTGGATTTTCCTCAATCTCTTCAAGCTTGTTTTTCTATCACCTGGAACTGTGTGTGTATGCGTATGTGTGTCTGTGTGCACGTATGTGTGTTTGTCTGTGTATGTGTATGTGTGTGTTGAGGTTGGACATTCCTGGCATGACTATTCTAATGCTCAGATGTTTGTGACTGGAGCATATTTATCTGCATAATTTCATTCTTGATACGTGACACATGTTGTTTTCAATGATTGATAATTGAGTGATTTCTGTTAAAGATGAATAATGTCACACCTTAATTGAATAATGATGCACACCCTTGTAGGATGTGTATTATTTTTGGTTCATAAAAAACAACCCATTTACCAGATCAGCTTGTATACTGCAGATGTTGGTGTCAGGCCTGTGAAATAGAGAGGTAGGAAAGCTGGGTTATTTTCTGTGATGGGGGAATAACCGAGACAGTTAGACAGGATATTATTTTTTACGATATATCGCAATATTATTGTTTACGTTATTGTGATATTATTTTAGTGCTAGTTAGCTGTACCTGTGCCATAACTCCTGTATTTTTCCTTCTATAGTGTGTTCTCCATCTTTTAAAATGGTGAGCCAATATGTTTTCATCACTTTTCCATGACTGATCAAAACTCGTTTTCTCATGGGTCTCTGTTGTCCCTCTGCATCAGACATATGGGTAGCAATTTCAGTATCGAATTGCAATACATATAGAATCGTGAGATTCGTGAGAATCACAATACAAATAAAATCGGCACCTAAGTATCTTGATAATATCGTTTTGTGAGGTCCCTGGCAATTCTCAGCTGTAGTTATTTTCACATATTGACCACTGTAGAGGAACAGCATAAACCAGTGACTCTGTGTTGAACAAAGTAGATTGAGTCAATCACTTTTTCTGATTTCAGTGGTTCCAATATGTATTCATAGCTTTGATTTAATGTCCTTGTTTGTAATTGCACAATAACTACCCACACAAAACAATTTGTGCCTCACAGGTAATCCTCTCAGTGTTTACTGCTTCACTAGAGTGACACCTGTTCTAATTTACGGATGCGTCACAAAACAGTGTTGTCGCACCTGTTTGTGAGGCATGTACTCTAGCATGTTATTGTGTAACCCCTGAACTTTTCAATGTGAACCTCTCAGTCAATACCAGTGTGCCCTTCACACCTCAGGAAGTTGTGCCCCTTACAGTGAATATTTACTATTTTCATCTATCACAAATAATACCCTGTGGGAAGAGAACAATAGTACCATTTATTTTCATCACTTTGGTTCAGTTTTCACCAGTATGTGGTACATTTTCACAACTCTTAGTCAATGTAAATAGTCTGGGTGGCCATTTGATTAATTGTTCAGCAGTCTTATAGCTTGGGGATAGAAGCTGTTAAGGAGCCTTTTGGACCTAGACTTGGCGGTGCGGTACCGCTTTCCGTGCGGTAGCAGAGAGAACAGTCTATGACTTGGGTGACTGGAGTCTTTGACAATTATTTGGGCCTTCCTCTGACACCGCCTAGTATATACAGTTGGAGTCGGAAGTTTACATACACCTTAGCCAAATACATTTAAACTCAGTTTTTCACAATTCCTGACATTTAATCCTAGTAAAATGTCCCTGTCTTAGGTCAGTTAGGATCACCACTTTATTTTAAGAATGTGAAATGTCAGAGTAATAGTAGAGAGAATGATTTATTTCAGCTTTTATTTCTTTCATCACATTCCCAGTGGATCAGAAGTTTACGTACACTCAATTAGTATTTGGTAGCATTGCCTTTAAATTGTTTAACTTTGGTCAAACGTTTCGGGTAGCCCTCCACAAGCTTCCCACAATAAGTTGGGTGAATTTTGGCCCATTCCTCCTGACAGAGCTGGTGTAACTGAGTCAGGTTTGTAGGCCTCCTTGCTCGCACACGCTTCTTCAGTTCTGTCCACACATTTTCTATAGGATTGAGGTCAGGGCTTTGTGATGGCCACTCCAATACCTTGACTTTGTTGTCCTTAAGCCATTTTACCACAACTTTGGAAGTATGCTTGGGGTCATTGTCCATTTGGATGACCCATTTGCGGCCAAGCTTTAACTTCCTGACTGATGTCTTGACATGTTGCTTCAATATATCCACATAATTTTCCTTCCTCATGATGCCATCTATTTTGTGAAGTGCACCAGTCCCTGCTGCAGCAAAGCACCCCCACAGCATGATGCTGCCACCCCCGTGCTTCAAGGTTGGGATGGTGTTCTTCGGCTTGCAAGCCACCCCCTTTTTCCTCCAAGCATAACGATGGTCATTATAGCCAAACAGTTCTATTTTGTTTCATCAGACCAGAGGACATTATTCCAAAAAGTACGATCTTTGTCCCCATGTGCAGTTGCAAACCGTAGTCTGGCTTTTTTATGGCGATTTTGGAGCAGTGGCTTCTTCCTTGCTGAGCTGCCTTTCAGGTTATGTCGATATAGGACTCGTTTTACTGTGGATATAGATACTTTTTTACCTGTTTCCTCCAGCATCTTCACAAGGTCCTTTGTTGTTGTTCTGGGATTGATTTGCACTAAAGTACGTTAATCTCTAGGAGACAGAAGGCGTCTCCTTCCTGAGCAGTATGACGGCTGCGTGGTCCCATGGTGTTTATACTTGCGTACTATTGTTTGTACAGATGAACGTGGTACCTTCAGGAGTTTGGAAATTGCTCCCAAGGATGAACCAGACTTGTGGAGGTCTACAATTTACCCCCTTTTTTTCTTTTGATTTTCCCATGATGTCAAGCAAAGAGGCACTGAGTTTGAAGGTAGGCCTTGAAATACATCCACAGGTACACCTCCAATTGACTCAAATGTTGTCAATTAGCCTATCAGAAGCTTCTAAAGCCATGACATCATTTTCTGGAATTTTCCAAGCTGTTTAAAGGCACAGTCAACTTAGTGTATGTAAACTGACCCACTGGAATTGTGATACAGTGAATTATAAGTGAAATAATCTGTCTGTAAACAATTGTTGGAAAAATTACTTGTGTCATGCACGAAGTAGATGTCCTAACCGACTTGCCAAAACTATAGTTTGTGGAGTGGTTGAAAAACAAGTTTTAATGACTCCAACCTAAGTGTATGTAAACTTCCGACTTCAACTGTAGGTCCTGGGTGGTAGGAAGCTTGGCCCCGGTGATGTATTGGGCCGTACGCACTACCCTCTGTAGCGCCTTACGGTCAGGTGCCGAGCAGTTGCCTTACCAGGCGGTGATGCAACCGGTCAAGATGCTCTCGATTGTGCAGCTGTATAACTTTTTGAGGATCTGGGGACCCATGCCAAATCTTTTCAGTCTCCTGAGGGTGAAAAGGTTTTGTCGTGCCCTCTTTACGAATGTCTTGGTGTGTTTGGACCATGATAGATCATACAAAATATTTTGCGCTGACAAAATATTTGTTGGTCTGATCTCTGATGTGATTAATAAGGAGCATCCAGACGCTGCACTTGATGAATTTATACAATTTATTCTTCCAGTTATTGATAAACATGCACCTGTTAAGAAACTGACTGTTAGAACTGTTAAGGCTCAATGGATTGATGAGGAATTGAAAAACTGTATGGTTGAAAGAGATGGGGCAAAAGGAGTGGCTAATAAGTCTGGCTGCACATCTGACTGGCTGACTTACTGCAAATTGAGAAATGATGTGACTAAACTCAACAAAAAGAAGAAGAAACTGTATTATGAAGCCAAAATCAATGATATAAAGAATGATGGAAAAAAAACTTTGGAGTACTTTAAATGAAATTATCAGATGGTTTATTCATCACAAAACCATTTGATGCTGCCAATTATTTTAATGATTACTTAATTGGCAAAGTGGGCAAACTTAGGCAGGAAATGCCAACAACGAACAGTGAGCCATTGTACTCATGTATAAAAAAAGAAATAATGAAAGAAAAGCATTGCAAGTTTGAATTTTGTAAAGTTAGTGTGGGAGAGGTGACAAACCTCCTGGCATTGACAACTTAGATGGAAAGCTACTGAGAATGGTAGCTGACTCTGTAGCCACTCCTTTCTGTCATATCTTTAATCTAAGTCTAGAGGAAAGTATTTGTCCTCAGGCCTGGAGGGAAGACAAAGTCATTCCTCTACCCAAGAGTGGTAAAGCAGCCTTTACTGGTTCTAACAGCAGACCTATCAGCTTGCTGCCAGCTCTTAGCAAACTTTTGAAAAAATGGTGTTTGATAAAATACACTGCAATTCCGTAAACAAATTAATAAGAAGTACGGCAAACTAGGGGTGCGCAGCCCAAAACAAGACGGTTCAGAAGTGCTTATAGAGGAAGGGCACTCCCAACTGTAGCCTCACGACAGAACCAAATGTCTGACTCCACTGGCTTCCAATTGAAGCTCGCATCCGCTACAAGACCATGGTGCTTGCCTTTGGAGCAGTGAGGGGAACGGCACCCCTGTACCTTCAGGCTCTGATCAGTCCCTACACCCAAACGAGGACATTGCGTTCATCCACCTCTGGCCTGCTGGCTCCCCTTCCTCTGCGGAAGCACAGCTCCCCCTCAGCCCAGTCAAAACTGTTCGCTGCTCTGGCACCCCAATGGTGGAACAAGCTCCCTCACGACGCCAGGACAGCGGAGTCACTCACCACCTTCCGGAGACATTTGAAACCCCACCTCTTTAAGGAATACCTGGGATAGGCTAAAGTATTCCTTCTAACCCCCCCCCCCCCCCCCCCCCCCAAATTGTAAAGTGGTTATCCCACTGGCTATAGGGTGAACGCACCAATTTGTGAGTCGCTCTGGCTAAGAGCGTCTGCTAAATGACGTTAATGTGCCCTTGAGCAAGGCACTTAACCCTAATTGCTCCTGTGGATTGGTTGAAAGAAATTGATAATAATACGATTGTGGGAGCTGTCCTGTTAGATTTCAGTGCAGCCTTTGACATTATTGACCATAACCTGTTGTTGAGAAAACCTATGTGTTATGGCTTTTCAACCTCTGCCATATTGTGGATTCAGAGCTATCTATCTAATAGAACTCAGAGGGTTTTCTTTAGTGGAAGCTTCTCTAATGTCAAAAATGTAAAGTGTGTTGTACTGCAGTACAGCTCTCTACAGTCGTGGTCAAAAGTTTTGAGAATGACACAAGTATTGTTCTTCACAAAGTTCGCTGCTTCAGTGTTATGAGATATTTTTGTCAGATGTTACTATGGTATACTGAAGTATAATTACAAGCATTCCATAAGTGTCAAAGGCTTTTATTGACAATTACATTAAGTTTATGCAAAGAGTCAATATTTGCAGTGTTGACCCTTCTTTTTCAAGACCTCTGCAATCCGCCCTGGCATGCTGTCAATGAACTTCTGGGCCACATCCTGACTGATGGCAGCCCATTCTTGCATAATCAATGCTTGCAGTTTGTCAGAATTTGTGAGTTTTTGTTTGTCCACCCGCCTCTTGAGGATCGACCACAAATTCTCAATGGGATTAAGGTCTGTGGAGTTTCCTGGCCATGGACCCAAAATGTCAATGTTTTGTTCCCCGAGCCACTTAGTTATCACTTTTGCCTTATGGCAAAGTGCTCCATCATGCTGGAAAAGGCATTGGTTGTCACCAAACTGTTCTTGGATGGTTGGGAGAAGTTGCTCTCGGAGGATGTGTTGGTACCATTCTTTATTCATGGCTGTGTTCTTAGGCAAAATTGTGAGTGAGCCCACTCCCTTGGCTGAGAAGCAACCCCACACATGAATGGTCTCAGGATGCTTTACTGTTGGCATGTTCTCTTCTCCTGCTGACTCCATGTCTTGGTGTGTGATTCTGTGGTGAGTGATTTTGAAGGAGTCAGGCGCAGGAGAGTAAATCACAGAATAAAGGTTTATTCCCAAAACACAGCGGTACGCAGCAATGCGTCAAACACACTGGAAACAACAAGGCACACGGGTGAAATATCCCGGCGATACAAAATACAAAGAGCTCCACCGAGCTAATCTAACCTCCACAATAAACAATCACACACAAAGACAAGGGGGCAGAGGGAACACTTATACAGGTTCTGATGAGGGGGTATGAACCAGGTGTGTGTAATAAACAAGACAAAACAAATGGAATGATGAGATGAGGAGCAGCAGTGGCTAGAAGGCCGGTGACGACGAACGCCGAAGCCTGCCCGAACAAGGAGAGGAGGCAGCTTCGGAGGAAGTCGTGACACAACCATATACGCATCAGCAACCACAGCTAATGAAGTCACTGAAACCCTTAACAAAAAGTTGCAGTCTGTTTTGGAATGGGTGGCTAGTAATAAACTGGGCCTGAACATCTCTAAAACTAAGAGCATTGTATTTGGTACAAATCATTCCCTAAGTTCTAGACCTCAGCTGAATCTGGTAATGAATGGTGTGGCTGTTAAACAAGTTGAGGAGACTAAATTACTTGGTTTTACTGTAGATTGTACCAGCACAGAAAAAGTACAAAAATGTATCCACTCACTACTGTAAGTCGCTCTGGATAAGAGCATCTGCTAAATGACTAAAATGTAAAATGTAATTGTAAACTGTCATGGTCAAAACATATAGTAGATGCAATGGTTGTAAAGATGGGGAGAGGTCTGTCCGTAATAAATAGATGCTCTGCTTTTATGACACCACACTCCAAAAAGCAAGTCCTGCAGGCTCTAGTTTTATATTGATTATTGTCCAGTCGTGTGGTCGAGTGCTACAAGGAAAGACGTAGTTAAGCTGCAGCTGGCCCAGAACAGAGCGGCATGTCTTGCTCTTCATTGTAATCAGAGGGCTGATATAAATACTATGCATGCAAGTCTCTCTTGGCTAAGAGTTGAGGAGAGACTGACTACATCACTTCTTCTTTTTATAAGAAACATTAATGTGTTGAAAATTCCAAATTGTTTTCATAGTCAACTTACACACAGCTCTGACACAAACACTTACCCCACCAGACATGCCACCAGGGGTCTTTTCACAGTCCCCAAATCCAGAACAAATTCATGAAAGTGTACAGTATTATATAGAGCCATTATTCCATGGAACTCCCTACCATCTAATATTGCTCAAATGAACAGCAAACCTGGTTTCAAAAAACAGATAAAGCAACACCTCACGGCACAACGCCTTTCCCCTATTTGACCTAGATAGTTTATGTGTACGTATTGATATGTAGGCTACGTGCGCCATTTAAAAATTGATGTAGTTCTGTCCTTGAGCTGTTCTTGTCTATTAATGTTCTGTATTATATCATGTTTCATGTTTTGTGTGGACCCCAGGAAGAGTAGCTGCTGCTTTCGCAACAGCTAATGGGGATCCTAATAAAATACCAAAATACCAAATACCAAACATAAAAAGTGTGATATATACTCAAATGTACTACTATGACGATGACTATTATGTGGTGAAAAATGTCTTCAAACAAAATGAATGCACAATGAAAGGTTTTGAATATAAGACTGGCTGCATTAAAAGTGTTACCAGTTCGAAGTTTTGTACTAAGAGTTTTAAAAATTCAACATATACTTGTGAAAATAGTACCAAAGCAATAAAAAAAACATACATCTCAGTGTGGCATGTGTGTGAATAAGGTATGTGGTAATCTCTTGGTGTCCCGAGGCAAGTTTCTGTTTACCTCCTCCACCGTTTCTGTCACTTGATAAAATGTGTTTACCTCCTCCTCCTTTCTTTCTTTTATTTTCTTCCCTTTTCTTTCCACTCCACTTTTTGAGTATGGAAACCTTGGAAACATGAATGAAAAATACAACTAAACCTAATCCAGGACTGAGTAATGTTTCTAACGTGTTAGGTTACTGTCTATGGCAGTACTGTTTTCTAACGTGTTAGGTTACTGTCTATGGCAGTAATGTTTCCAAGCATGTTAGGTTACTGTGTGTGTTTGTGCATGCGTGTGCATGTTTGTATGTGTTTATGTGTGTGGGATTTTTCTGTGAACTCTTCCACCCCTCTCCCTCTCTCTCTGTCTGCGTTCTGCAAATACTGAAAGTATCTCTTTACTGGGGAAACCCACCTACTCAGCCCAATCAGATTCTTCACTTCTCCAGCAACAATATTTGAACATGCATGTAGCTCTGCCTGTCTGTGTGTTTGTGTGTGTGTTAATGTCAATTTTTGTGATGGAACATTTTGTGGAAGTATGTGTGTTATTTTTCATCTGATGACCTGGGATACATGGATTCTTAATTTCTTTGTGTTCAATTATTGCGCTTGCATACACATTAGTGTTTGTGTGGTGATTGTATACTTTCGTGATTGTGTTTGCCTGGGTGTACATGTGCAGGTGCACAGGACTATTTCTCAACAGGTAATTGAACTGGTTGAGTGTCAACAGCTTTAAGCCATCCACTGATAGCAGTGACCCACCTCAGGCTTCTCCCAGTGCTTAACCTAGGTGGGGTAGTGATAACATGGTTCTCATTGGGAAATGTACACATAAGAACATAATTACAATCTAAGTTTCCAATGACCAAATGTGTCTACACTGCACAAAGTCCATGGTCCAATTTGAGCTAAACAGAACTCATACAGTACACTGTGCTTGACTGACACTCATGTTGTAACTTGTACACCTTGGATCTAGTTAGTGATTCGTTATATAAGAATTTCTGATCCTTGTTTATTACATGTTTATTACTCTCACACATCCTCACAATGGCAGGTTGCACATGTATGCAAATGCTGGGCTATAGCAAAAATGGGCATCCCTGTGGGTGTCCAGGACCAGGATAGAAGGGCACTGGTCTAATGTAGCACGCTGCTAAGTTAGTGTTCAGGAATGTCCCTTGACCCTCTGACAAGGTAGAGTCAGTGTGGACTGTCTGGCTCTGTGTGAGTTCACATTCCTCCAGACTAAAGTCAGCACCTGTGACCCTCTCTCTCTATCTCTCTCTCTCTCTCTCTCTCTCTCTCTCTCTCTCTCTCTCTCTCTCTCTCTCTCTCTCTCTCTCTCTCTCTCTCTCTCTCTCTCACATCCATTCACAGGGAAATATTGTGATGAACCTTAAGAAACTTTGGCAATGGCATTCCCCCTATCATTTCCCTCTGAACCTAACACTATTTGAACCCTCGTCCTTCGTCTCTCTCTCTCTCTCTCTCTCTCTCTCTCTCTCTCTCTCTCTCTCTCTCTCTCTCTCTCTCTCTCTCTCTCTCTCTCTTTCTCTCTCTCTCTCTCTCCTTCACAAACACAATAAAGTGTCTGCTATCTCTGCTTTATGATGTCTGGGCCTGCTCACTGGACTGTTATCCCACACTATGCTACTCTCTCCAGAATCACCTGCTAGCTTTTACTGATTGCTATTCCCTGTGTGAAGCGAATTAACTAGGACATGTTAACACGCTCTTTGCTCATGTCTGTGTGACTCCTCACAGTCTCCAGATTTAATGCTGAACAGTTATTTCAGATAATTGTGAGAGCACAGGAACACAGCACATAGACAAGATGTAAGAAGAGCACATGAACTAGACAACATGGTCTATTTACAGTACCTCTAGTTAGTTAAAGTTCAATGTCCCATCAAATCCAACACAGTATATCTTGTTGTTACCGACATATCTATCTGTGAATCTGTGAATAAATAACCTATTGATATATACAGAAAAATATTAATAGAACAGCAACTACAATTAAAAAACACACACACGTTATTATCTAGAGTTAGCCTCTCTTCCTTCCTCTTTCACTTTTTCTCTCTCTCTCTTTGGACATCTTGCTTAGATTTGATTAGCAAAACAGTCTCAGTTCCAATGACATTGAAAGGGGAAAAGGACTGGACTCCTACAGTCCACAATAAACAAGGCCTAGTGTCTTCCCCAGAGACAGTCAGTCACCGTATTGAATGTAGCGCTGGCCTAAAGGGAATGAGAAGTGAGCGTGAACAAACAACTTATTATTCTTAGCACTAACATGTATTATTATGTATTAGTCATAGTCAGAGTTTGAATTTAAGTTGTGAGCTGATGTGTTACATCAAAACTACACAAAATGCGTCAGTACTTACAACAACAACAACAACAACATAGGCTAGAGTTTTTAAGTGAAATCCTTAAAACTGAAGAACTGTCTTTTGCCCTTCTTTCCCCCAGTGATATGCTCCGGCACCCAAAATGCGCTGAGCGTGACAGGAAGTTCACAGATGCAGTACACACTAATGAAGGAGATGTACAGTGGCTGTGAGATCGTCATGGGTAACCTGGAGATCACCATGATGGAACACTGGAGGGACTTCACCTTTCTACAGGTGAGGGAATGAACAGGTGGATGAATGGCAACAGGTGTGTGTGTGTGGTCTTGCATCAGGAGTATGTATAATCTACTCTAGTCAATAGAAGTCTATATATAGTGCCAACAATAAACACACAATCAGACATGTCAGGCCACACTTCCCTCTTGGGCACAGAGAACAACAACAGAGCTTTTATCAGTGTGTGTCTCCTGTGGATGATGTTACTTTCTCCTGTACACAATGAGTCCTCTTACATTCCCCTGTGAAACATTTATCAATGTGGCGCGGCCATGGTAACTTATCACAAAGGCATTAAAACCAGTTAGTTATCCGTATACAGAGCCATATACTGTATATGACTCTGCCAGTAACTAGTTTAACTGTCATGGTACAGGTGTAGGATCTTAATTTGAGCCAGTTTGCTACAGCAGCAAAATAATCCTGCAGCAACAGGAATGTGAATTATTATGTGGATTATAATTAATGGAATTTCTTTTGTAGGGGTTGATAAATTTTTTGTAAGGGAAAATCTAGTCTTAAATTTCAAAGTGGAAATAACAAACTTCAGAAGCCTTTTTAAACCTCAAATACACTACAAGTTTTACATTTCCTGCATTTCAGGAAAGTTCTCCTGCAACAGGGTGATCAAATTAAGATCCTACATCTGTACTGTAGTTAGCTAATGTTATGGCTGTCATGGTAATAATTGATGAGTGAGAGAATAAGAGGGCTGTTGAGATGTTATAGTCAAAGTTATTGAATCTTAGTATTTACAGTAAATACTGAACTTAGAATGAAGGTGTCATGCTACCGTACATGATCCGCTACATAAATGTTCTTTACTCCGCATACTAGAGGGCTACTTAGGCGCAGGCTTTTGTCCCAGCCCAGTTCTAACACACCTGATTCAGCAAATCAAGGTCTTGATGTGTAGTTGATTACAGTTTTTTTCAATTGCTAAAACACAATTTCTGAAACCTTGCTCCATTTCCTGAAAACATTCAACACAAAACCTAATCTTCAAGCACTATTTTCAAAACCTCTTGACTTCTCTCGCAAAATGAAACATTCGCCTCAAAACAGTTTTACCTGTGTTCAAAATCAAACACTGCTCTCAAATCATAAACAAAGTGATCAAAATTATATACACTCTCAAGCAGTCAGTAAACAATACACCAAAAAATAGAAAACACATTGTTCAAAACATACAGTTCTCAGGGAGAAGTACATTTTTAATCTCAAAACTAATTTCATATTTTTACGTCATTGTCTTTTGATGAACGAAAACATGTTCTATCATAGTAGCTCAAAATTGATCAGAAATTACTACTCTGCTTTGCTCTTTGCAATTTTGTTTTTTGTTCTTCCTCCTCCTTGTATCCCTATTTTTACAGTACTGTACCCTGCATCTCACAAACTTGTCCTTTGTCTCTGTGATACTGTAATTCTTGTTCTTTGTTGATATGAACCTGCAACCAGTCAAAATCTATTGAGCAGTCAGTGCTGTTGTCACGATCGTCCAATGAGGGAGACCAAAGCGCAGCGCGTTGAGCGAACATGACTTTAATTGGTAAAGTACACGAAACAAAACAAAACACGATCGTAAAGTCCACAGTGACAATGACTGACAAGGAACAAAAACCCACAACCCCAAGGTGAAAACACACAGTATAAATATGGCTCCCAATCAGAGATAACGAGCCGACAGCTGACACTCGTTACCTCCGATTGGGAGTCATTGACCAAACATAGAAAACAACAACCTAGACACCCAACATAGAACATAAACACATAGACTGCACACACCCTGGCTCAACATAATGAGTCCCAAAACCAGGGTGTGACAGTACCCCCCCCTAAAGGCGCGGACTGCGACCGCGCCTCAAAACCCCCAAAAAGGGGAGGGCTGGGCGGGCATACCTCCTCGGTGGCGGTTCTGGCTCCGGCCTAGACCACCACCCCACCATAGTCACTACCCGCTTACGTAGCCTCCTCCAAATGACCACCCTCCACCTTAACCCCACTAGATTAAGGGCCAGCACCGGACTAAGGGGCAGCACCAGGATAAGGAGCAGCACCAGGATAAGGAGCAGCACCAGGATAAGGGGCAGCACCGGACTAAGGGGCAGCACCAGGCTAAGGGGCAGCACCGGACTAAGGGGCAGCACCAGGCTAAGGGGCAGCACCGGACTAAGGGGCAGCACCGGACTGAATGGCGGATCCTGGCTGGCTGGCTCTGGCGGATCCTGGCTGGCTGGCGGATCCTGGCTGGACGGCTCTAGCGGATCCTGGCTGGACGGCTCTGGCGGATCCTGGCTGGACGGCTCTGGCGGATCCTGGCTGGACGGCTCATGGCTGGCTGACGGATCTGGCTGCTCATGGCTGGCTGACGGATCTGGCTGCTCATGGCTGGCTGACGGATCTGGCTGCTCATGGCTGGCTGAAGGATCTGGCTGCTCATGGCTGGCTGACGGATCTGGCTGCTCATGGCTGGCTGACGGATCTGGCTGCTCATGGCTGGCGGAAGGCTCTGGCTGATCCTGTCTGGCGGAAGGCTCTGGCTGATCCTGTCTGGCGGAAGGCTCTGGCTGATCCTGTCTGGCGGAAGGCTCTAGCGGCTCCTGTCTGGCGGAAGGCTTTAGCGGCTCCGGTCTGGCGGACGGCTCTGAAGGCTCATGGCAGACGGGCGGCTTAGCAGGCTCAGTACAGACGGGCAGTTCATGCAGCGCTTGGCCGACGGACAGTTCAGACGGCGTTGGGCAGACGGGCAGTTCAGGCGCCGTTAGGCAGACGGCAGACTCTGGCCGGCCGAGCCGCACATAAGGCCTAGTGCGTGGTGCCGGAACTGGAGGTACCGGGCTGAGGACACGCATCTCAGGGCTAGTGCGGGGAGCAGGAACAGGGCATGCAGGACCCTGGGGACGCACATAAGGCCTAGTGCGTGGTGCCGGAACTGGTGGTCCCGGGCTGAGGACACGCATCTCAGGGCTAGTGCGGGGAGCAGGAACAGGGCATGCTGGACCCTGGGGACGCACATAAGGCCTAGTGCGTGGTGCCGGAACTGGTGGTCCCGGGCTGAGGACACGCATCTCAGGGCTAGTGCGGGGAGCAGGAACAGGCCGGGCTGGGCTGGCGAAGCACACCGTAGGCCTTGTGCGAGAGGCAGGAACAGGTCGGACCGGGCTGGAGACGCGCACCGTCCATTTGGTGCGAGGGGCCGTACCAGGCCGGACCGTACTGGGGACACACACCACTGGCTCTACCCCGGGAACTGGAACGGGCCGGACCGGACTGGATACACACCTCAGTCTCTCACGCCGTGCCTCTACATCTCCTTTCCCTCCTTTGACCAGTAGCCCCCATAACCTGGTGGCCTCTTGAATTCGCCCCTTCTCTGCCTCCGTTAGCCCCGTCGTCCATGCCCTGTGCCCCCCCCTAAAAATTTATTGGGGGTGCCTCTCGACCGTCCGACGACGACCCTGATCACGCCGTAGCTCCTCTCTACGGCGCGCCTCCACCGTCTCACTCCATGGCCGGCGATCCCTCCCGGCCAGGATTTCCTCCCAGGTCCAGGACCCCTGCCCGTCCAAGATCTGCTCCCACGTCCAGGCTGCCTGCTCCTGGACACGCTGCTTGGTCTTGGTATGGTGGGTTTTTCTGTCACGATCGTCCAATGAGGGAGACCAAAGCGCAGCGCGTTGAGCGAACATTACTTTATTAATACAAAGTCTGGAACAAAACAACAAAACAAGAACGATTCGTGAAGTCCTCTGCAATACTGACAGAACATGGAACAAAAACCCACAACCCCAAGGTGAAAACACACAGTATAAATATGGCTCCCAATCAGAGATAACGAGCCGACAGCTGACACTCGTTACCTCCGATTGGGAGTCATTGACCAAACATAGAAAACAACAACCTAGACACCCAACATAGAACATAAACACATAGACTGCACACACCCTGGCTCAACATAATGAGTCCCAGAACCAGGGTGTGACAGCTGTTAACAAATGGAAAGCACGATGTTCAGGGCCATACAATTTGTTCATTGTACATTATACAGCCTACAATGCACTGTACTACAGTATACAATACTAAAAGGGACAAAAATCAAAGGAGTAAACATGCAATCAATGTGCTTCTTCTTGTCTTTGGGCTGGGTCAGGCCAGAGCACTTCGTCGACATCACAAGCAATATTGTCCCTCCTGAGGCAATGGGGGAAGAAGCATCTTGTGTGCCGTATCTAGCCCTGACATGATTCCTCACCTATATCACCACAGGCTAAATCCATGGCTTGCAGCAGATTTACTCTGGTGTAGGGTTGTCTATCATACACTTTCCATCTCCAAGAGGAGGAAAACTCCTAAATCGGATTCAGGAAAGGCGAGTATGGAGGGAGGCCCATTGATGTTAAACCATTCCCTTACCTGAGCAGCTCGGTGGAAACCGACATTGTCCCACACTATCACATAGGGATAGGGATTCTCATTTAGCTCTTGACCCTGCTGCTCTTGAACCTGCTGCTCAAATAAAATATCTCTTAGATTGGCAATAAATCTTAGAAGGTGCTGGGTGTTATATGGCCCGAGTGTAACATGGTGATGTAGAACACCATGGTTGCTGATAGCAGCACAGATTGTGACATTGCCACCTCGTTGACCAGGGACTTCAACAATGGCCCGCTGTCCAATCATGTTTCGGCCTCTCCTTCTCCTCTTTGTTAGATTGAAGCCTACTTCATCGACAAAGATGAACACATGGGGTCTGTCCAACGATTCCAAGTCAAATATTGTCTGTGTAGAAATACAATATACTGTATGTAGGATTTTGTAAGTCGTACAGAGACAGTGCTATACTGTAGAGTACAATTAGGCCTACTGTATGCACTTCTGATTCACATACATTGTATGTACTGAAGAGTAATGTCATTCACATAGTATGTGTTAGTACTGTAGACAATCTGGATTACAGTAAATGTTTCTGAATGTACACTTACTTGCACATACTGAGCTCGCAGTTCTTTCACCCTTGGTGAGTTGTGCTCAAAAGGTACTCTGTATACTTGTTTCATTCGCATCCTGTTACGATGGAGGACACAGTCAATTGTGGAAATGCTCCCACTGTCGATTCCCTGGAAGTGTGTGTTGTCTTGTATCACTCGTTCCTGGATTTCTATGAGTCGTATTGCATTATCTTGAAGGACCATGCTAACTATAACGTCCTCTTGCTCCCGAGTGAATATAGCTGTCCTTCCACCTGCATGTGGCAGCCTTGCAATTCTGCAAAAAGTAGTTGTGCAGTTACAAAACATATTCATGCAGTACAATACATACAGTGATTAACTTTAAAGATGTCTATTGAAACAGCTGCATATAGTGTAGTACAGTAAATTTGCAATTACAAAAATACAGTAGTATGCTGTACCTGTTCTCTTCTCTGAATGTCCTTACTATGGTGGACACAGAAAATCAGCTCAAATTGGGTTGCACTCTAAGTCCTGCTTCCTTCATTGTCAGTCCATGGACAAGAACATGGTCTATGACTGTTGCTCGAATTTCATCAGATATTTCCACTCTTTGTCTTCCTCTTCCTCTTCGTCCTCCTCTTCTTCTTTCTTGCCCTCCTCCCCCTCTTCCTCCTCGTCGCCCACCTCGCATACGCACTTGTCCTCGTCCTCTCACATTGTTTCTTCTATCCATTCTCAGACTTTCTCCTTCCCACCTTCAACAACCTGTTTGCTCTCTGAACTGGCTTATATTGGTTGTGTCGGATCATTTGAAACGGGTTAAATCAATTTTGAGTGGTTGTGTTCAATCAATGACATGTGTTCTCTATTTGTATTTGATTGTTGCCACTTGTGTTTACCAGAATGGATGACATGTGCATTAGAGTGCAGAATGTGTTTTGAGATTGAGAATGTGTTTAAAGTTTTGCTGAAAAGTCTAAGTGAGATCTGCAAATTGTATTTTACCATGTGAAATGGTTTAAGGTATTGACAACAGACTGCATAATTAGCTAAATGAGTCCAGGCAACTGAGAACTTTGTTCAGCCAATGGGTTTTAGTGTTTTAGCAATTGAGAAAAACTGTAAATTGAATCAAGTGACAAATGCCTGCTCACACGCAGCCCTCCAAGATAAGAAATGAGGAACATATCTGTATCCTGATTCCGTCTACAGTAACACCTTTTTCTTTACTCTTACTCTTTTCCTCTTTCCTTCTTCCCTGACCTCTCTCCTCCCCTGTAGTCTATTAGAGAAGTGACGGGCTACATTCTCATAGCCATTAACCAGTTCAGCCGGCTGCCGCTGGACCAGCTCCGTGTCATCAGAGGCACCACTCTGTACGAGGATCGCTTTGCTCTGGCTGTCCTCGTCAACTACCAGAAGGACGGCCAACACGGACTGAAGGAGCTGGGCCTCACACACCTCACAGGTACACACACACACAACACACACACACACACACACACACACACACACACACACACACACACACACACACACACACACACACACCCACACCACACACACACACACACACACACACACCCACACACCACACACACACACACACACACAACACACACACACACACATCCAACACAACACACCACAGCAACTACACTACATTACATTACAACATTACATCAACACTACATAAAACATTATATCTGTGGACTGAAAAACCCTTTAAGTGACACACATCTCATCATGACACAACATGGTCATTCATCGGTCCACATGCCAACTCACCATACCAACTTCAGTAGCAGGATTGGGGTCAATTCCAGTCAATTCAGGAAGTACATTGAAATTCAAATTTCAATTCTTAACTGTAGCATGAGAGATGAGAGGAGACACTATAGAGAGAAATGTGTGCCCGTTTTGATTTGGTTACTCACCAACGTGTTCTGGCCTGTTAAACTAATTGTGCTCCTTCCTTTGTGTGTGTGTGTGTGTGTGCGTGTGTGTGTGTGTGTGTGTGTGTGTGTGTGTGTGTGTGGTGTGTGTGTGTGTTGTGTGTGTGTGTGTGTGTGTTCCACAGAGATACTGGAGGGAGGGGTGCAGATCATTCAGAATAAGTTCCTGAGCTACACCCCTCAGGTGAACTGGCTGGACATAGTGAAGGATGGAGACTCTGAGGTCGTCATCAATGAGAACGGGCCTGAACGTGAGTACAGCGGGAGGTAGATGGTAGGACTCACAGAAGTCAATGATATGTATTCAGATTAGTGGTAGGACTGCTACTGTATACGTTCAATGGTTAGGATGTTTTTGTATGATGTAGCTTTTACGTTTTCTAACATTTCTGACATGTTTTTCAGAGCCATGTGATGAGGCATGCGGAGGTCCATGTTGGGGGCCCAGGAATGACACCTGCCAGAGCTGTGAGTCACTTTTGACCCCTGGATCTCATTTTCTTACAACACTAGATAGCCTCTCTGTGATGTAATGTCCTACAACCAAGTTCAGTCAGCTTGCTTGGCTCAAAGTATTCTCTCTCTCTCTCTCTCTGTCCCCCCCCAGTGACGAAGACAGTGTGTGCCCCTCAGTGTAATGGCCGCTGCTTTGGGAGGAGTCCCAGTGAGTGCTGTCATATGGAGTGTGCAGGAGGTTGCACCGGACCACTGGACACCAACTGCTTTGTGAGTTTGCTATACACACAAACACACCGCAAAGAAGTGTTAAAAGTAGTTCTGACAGTCATTGCATAAAAATTAATGGGTTAAAACTATACTACTAAGCAATGCATACAGTATCATATAACTGTGTATTTTCTATCCAGGCCTGCCGTAACTTCAACAACTCAGGCTCCTGTGTACCCCAGTGTCCCCAGACCCTCATCTACAACAAGCACACCTTCAAACTGGAGCCCAACCCCAGCGCCAAGTATCAGTACGGCTCCATCTGCGTGGCCCAGTGCCCCAGTGAGTCCACACACAGCATGCTCTACCCACTTCACCTCACCGATCAACTCCTGGCCATAACCATGACCATCATGTCCCACTCATTGTCCTCATTCAATCTATCAATTTTCTAGCATGGTCCAATCTTCCTGTGGATTTCCCTGTGGATTTTAATTATTTGTTTTTCTCCCTTTACCTGTCGCTCTGCCCCACTCTTTCTCTCTCCCATTACATTCCTCCTCAGCTAATTTTGTGGTGGACGGGAGCTCGTGTGTGAGCAGCTGCCCTTCTTATAAGATGGAGATGGAGAAGAAAGGAGTGAAGAGGTGTGAGCCCTGTGGAGGCCTCTGTCCCAAAGGTACCCGCCTGTCCAGTGCCCACACATACACCCCTCAACTATCATTGCTTTGTAGAGAGTCTTCTACTCCATCAACCTGCCCTTATCACTCATGTAGTGAAACTTTAGCTTTATTAATTATTTTCTCTCTTCTTCTCCTCTCTTCTACTTTCTTCTATTCTCTTCTACTTTCTTCTCTTCAACTATTCTCTCCTCTCTCCTCTCCTCTCCTCTCCTCTCCTCTCCTCTCCTCTCCTCTCCTCTTCCTTCTCTTCTCTTCTCTTCTCTTCTCTTCTCTTCTCTTCCTTCTCCTTCTCTTCTCTTCTCTTCTCTTCTCTTCTCTTCTCTTCTCTTCTCTTCTCTTCTCTTCTCTTCTCTTCTCTTCTCTTCTCTTCTCTTCTCTTCTCTTCTCTCCTCTCCTCTCCTCTCCTCTCCTCTCCTCTTCTCTCCTCTCTAGCTTGTCAAGGAACAGGCACAGCCTCCAGACAGACAGTGGACTCTCAGAACATTGACAGTTTCCTCAACTGCACCAAGATCCAGGGTAGCCTGCACTTCCTGATCACCGGGATTAAAGGGTGAGTGACAGCAGCAATATCCTATCAAAATGGCATGGCCTGGGGTATTCTAGCTGCCTCTGGAGCACATGTACGATGTATTGCTACCAGCATAGGTTCCAATCTGGCCCAATGCTTTTTCAGCACTCTCTCCTACCTTTCACCTCTATCTCTTTCTATCCAATAAACATACAAAATACCTAAATATATAAATATACCTACTCATTCTAGGGTTTTTCTTTATTTTTACTATTTTCTACATTGTAGAATAATAGTGAAGACATCAAAACTATGAAATAACAGATATGTAATCATGCAGTAACCAAAAAAGTGTTAAACAAATCAAAACATATTTTATATTTCAGATTCTTCAAATAGCCACCCTTTGCCTTGATAACAGCTTTGCCCACTCTTGGCATTCTCTCAACCAGCTTCACCTGGAATGCTTTTCCAACAGTCTTGAAGGAGTTCCCACATATGCTGAGCACTTGTTGGCTGCTTTTCCTTCACTCTGCCGTCCGACTCATCCCAAACCATCTCAATTGGGTTGAGGTCGGGGGATTGTGGAGGCCAGGTCATCTGATGCATCACTCCATTACTCTCCTTCTTGGTAAAATAGCCCTTACACAGCCTGGAGGTGTGTTGAGTCATTGTCCTGTTGAAAAACAAATGATAGTCCCACTAAGCCCAAACCAGATGGGATGGCATGGCGTATCGCTGCAGAATGCTGTGGTAGCCATGCTGGTTAAGTGTGCCTTGAATTCTAAATAAATCACAGACAGTGTCACCAGCAAAGCACCCCCACACCATAACACCTCCTCTTCCATGCTTTACGGTGGGAAATACGTTCACCCACACCGCATCTCACAAAAACACGGCGGTTGGAACAGAAATCTCAAATTTCGACTCCAGACCAAAGGACACATTACCACCGGTCTAATGTCCATTGCTCGTGTTTCTTGGCCCAAGCAGGTCTCTTCTTCTTATTGGTGTCCTTTAGTAGTGGTTTCTTTGCAGCAATTCGACCATGAAGTCCTGATTCACACAGTCCCCTCTGAACAGTTGATGTTGAGATATGTCTGTGACTTGAACTCTGTGAAGCATTTATTTGGGCTGCAGTTTCTGAGGCTGGTAACTAATGAACTTATCCTCTGCAGCAGAGGTAACTCTGGGTCTTCCATTCCTGTGGCGGTCCTCATGAGAGGCAATTTCATCATAGCGCTTGATGGTTTTTGCGACTGCATTTGAAGACTGACTGACCTTCATGTCTTAAAGTAATGATGGACTGTTGTTTCTCTTGAGTTATTTGAGCTGTTCTTGCCATAATATGGACTTGGTCTTTTACCAAATAGGGCTATCTTCTGTGTACCCCCCCTACCTTGTCACATCACAACTGATTGGCTCAAACGCATTAAGAAGGAAAGAAATTCCACAAATTAACTTTTAAGAAGGCACACCTGTTCATTGAAATGCATTCCAGGTGACTACGTCATGAAGCTGGTTGAGAGAATGCCAAGAGTGTGCAAAGCTGTCATCAAGGCAACGGGTGGTTATTTGAAGAATCTCAAATATAAAATATATTTTGATGTGTTTAACACTTTTTTGTTTACTACATGTCTTCACTGTTATTATACAATGTAAAAAATAGTAAAAATAAAGAAAAACCCTTGAATGAGTAGGTGTGTCCAAACTTTTGACTGGTACTGTATATATATTCAAAATGGCACAGTAATGTAAACTTGATGTGTTCACTTTTCAATGGTCCTCACTAGTTCTGTTGGTTGATCTTCTATACACAGTGATCCCTACAACAACATCACAGCTTTGGACCCAGAGAAACTGAAGATCTTCAGAACTGTGAGAGAGATCACAGGTGTGTGTGTGTGTGCTTGTGTGTGTGTATGTGTGTGTTGAAGTTTCAAGTGCATGTGTCTGTTTAGTGGTAGCAGTGTGAGTGATATGATGTATCCGTGTTTGGAAGGTGTTGTGTGTTTTAACACCTTCTGCGGTTGCCAGACATTCTGAGTATCCAGTCGTGGCCTGAAACTCTGACTGACCTGTCGGTGTTTTCCAACTTGGCAACCATACAAGGAAGAACCCTCTACAGGTGATCATCTATCTGTCTGTCTTTCTCACTCGCTGACATTATACTTGTGTTTCTGTCTCTCTGCACTTAAAAAAAATATTTTTCACTTTCTACAGTATGTGTCCACTGAACCCATTTCCATCTCCATCTGTGCTTAACTGCATTGTAGACATGCATGCATAGACTGACCTGTTGTGTCTTGTCACCGCTTTATCTCTCATCCCCTGCTCTGCTCCTCTCTCTCTCTCTCTCTCTCTCTCTCTCTCTCTCTCTCTCTCTCTCTCGTTCTCTTCTCCTCTCGGTCTCTTCTTCTCTCTCTCTCTCCTCTCTGTCTCTCTCTCGGTCTCTTCTGTCTCTCCTCTCTCTCTCTCTCTCTCTCTCTCTCTCTCCTCTCTCTCTCTCTCTCTCTTCTCTCTTCTCTCTCTCCTCTCTCTCTCTCTCTCTCTCTCATTTGTTCCATCAGAGGAGGGCACTCTAAAAGGTATAGTAGTGTGTGTGACAGCTGTTTTACTAATCTACCTGACTACTAATCTTCCTGATACTGTGTGAACTGATAAAACAACTTCATACTCAGACAATGCTAAACAAAACAAAAATCCTTGGAATTGGTTACGAGTTGTCTTGAACTGCATGAGAAGTGTCTCAGCTGGTGGTGGGTGGGGGATTTTACTGTACATTGAGCTATAATGTAACCACAATCCTCATGATTGTATTTTGAACTTGATCATACCATATTATGACCATCAGTGGCAGTCAGCGCCGTTTAAGATGAGGGAGGACCATTTTTTTTCTCATGAGCATGGCCTTATTTCTATTACAGCATATTGGATGACTCTCATTCATATTCCATTCACCCAGTTCAATGTAACAGCGATAGGTTTAGGCTACTACATGATACAAAACATTTCCCTATACCCATCATGAGGCTGCTACAACCTAGCCTATCAATGAAAGTTTACAACGTAGGTGCACACAGGTCGAGACACAAATTTGAGGGTGTAATCATTAGTCCAACAGTTGCAAACAAGAGTTTCTATTGGACAAATTCAGGTATGTTTATCCCCGTTTTGTTCCGTTTGCTTCCGTTTAAGAAATGTTTTTCAACAGAATCGGCGGAATGAATATACCCCTGATCACTCGTAAACAGAGTTCACTCTCATAACAGCCATGTTGTATTCATTCTCTTCCCTTCGCTTGTGGACTTCAATGCACAAGAAATCAGCTGTATGTGACCAGGCTAAAAAATATTTCCAAGCCAAACCTCTACAAACAGCCTACATCGTTGTCACCATAAGCTAAAGTAACATCATAGTCAGCATAGCTAATAGAACTAACGCGTTAGTAAACCAGCTACAATCATGCAGTAATATTAGTGTACAGTCAGTAAGCAGTTACACCGGCAGGCCCCGGTGGCAATAAATTAGTTATATCAAAAGCTTACCTTGACTTGGAAGAGTTCCAGTGTTGTGTTGGAAAGTCATAGCCAGCTAGCTAACATAGCATCCCTCTGTTTGAGCAGGGTGTTTCAGTAGGCTAAACTAGCTACCTGCATTTGCTAGCTAAGTAAGTGAAACTGAAAGTGAAAAAAAATCTGGAAATCTCTCTCTCTCTATTTCTCTCTAGCTTCTCCTTCATTTAGGAAGAAATTAATTTGTTCAAAACTGTTCAACTATTGTCTTTCTCTCTCTTTGAGTCAACTACTCACCACATCTTATACACTGCAGTGCTAGCTATCTGTAGCTTATGCTTCCAGTACTATATTAATTCTCTGATCCTTTGATTGGGTGGACAACATGTCAGTTCATGCTGCAAGAGTTCAGATAGGTTGGAGGATGTCCTCCGGAAGTTGTCATAATTACTGTGTAAGTCTATAGAAGGGGGTGAGAGCCATGAGCCTCCTAGGTTTTGTGTTGGAGTCTATGTACCCAGAAGAGGACAGAAGCTAGCTGTCCTCCGGCTACGCCATGGTGCTACCCTACAGAGTGCTGTTGAGGCTACTGTAGACCTTCTTTGCAAAATAGTGTGTTTTAATCAATTATTTGGTGACAGATTTATTTAGTATAGTTTTATCTAAAAGGATAACTTTTTTTATGTTTTACAATTTAAATTGTTATGAAATTCACTGAGGAGGATGGTCCTCCCCTTCCTCCTCTGAGGAGCCTCCACTGATGACCACATTGGGTATTAGGAGTCTCAACCACAATAACATATGAATTGCCTACATAATAACAAAACACACATTTTCTGTCTACATGTAGACAATTAATTCATGTTTGGGAGCAGCAATGCCGTATGTGGGATTCATTTATCAATCAATCAATCAATCAATTTTATTTTATATAGCCCTTCTTACATCAGCTAATATCTCGAAGTGCTGTACAGAAACCCAGCCTAAAACCCCAAACAGCTAGTAATGCAGGTGTAGAAGCATTTACTTATCTGTCCTGACTCGATTGATGTTCCCAGCTCCAATATACGTTTCTACATATTTTTTCTGAAATATCCTCCATTCTCTCGACCTTAATGGTTCTCTCGGCTCTCTCCTCCTGTCATCTCGCTGCCTCTCTATCTCTCTGCCCTGCTCCTCTTCCTCCTCCTGCATTCTTCCCTCCTCCCTATTCTTCAGGGGCTACTCCCTGCTAGTGATGCGTATCCCGTCACTGACCTCTCTGGGGCTGCGCTCACTGCAGAGCATCAATGACGGCGGCGTCTACATCACAGGAAACAGGAAGCTATGCTACCACCACACTGTCAACTGGACACGCCTCTTCAGTAGCAGCTCCCGCCCACAGCGCCACCAGAAGAACATCGACGTCAAGGACAACCGGCCCCAGAGCCAGTGTGGTGAGACGGGGGAGAGAGCGGGTGAAATCTTCAAAATCATTAAGTAAATATGGCGGGTACACTAGTGAAGTACTAATAGTTTTTTGCATATTTGTTTGTTTGTGTGTGTGTGTAGTTGAGGAGGGGCACATGTGTGACCCCCTGTGTTCGTTGGAGGGGTGTTGGGGTCCTGGGCCGGACCAGTGTCTATCCTGTAAGAACTACAGCCGGGGGGAAACCTGTGTCAATCAGTGCAGATTTCTCACCGGGTCAGTACTCATTCAAAACAATGCATCTTTATTATAATGTAGATTTGTCAGTATCTCAATGTGTATGTGACTATGTGTTTAACCTATTTTTCAATCTCAATCTCTCTGCTTTTCTCCAGGAAGGGGCGTGAGTTTACAGGTCCGAAGGGCGAGTGTATGCCCTGTCACTCTGAGTGTGAGGTCCAGGAGGGACAGCCCACCTGCATAGGACTGGTATGCTCACCTCTGACATCTGCCCATGACCTCTCTCAAAGCATCTTAAAAGGACAGTTCAATGAGCTCAGTGATCAGTTGAAAAGTGTCTCTCAAAATTCTCAGGACTATCTGAAATGTAGTGCTTCACTGCCACCTTGTGGAGGATATTTTGGACCACAATTACATGGATATTGTCAACTGTCTCCATCTCTCTCCATCTCTCTATCCCTCTCTACCTCTCTCTCTCCCTCTCTCTCGCCTTCTCACTCTCGCTCGCTCTCGTTCTTTCTTTCTTTCTCTCTCTCACTCTCTCTCGCTTTCTCTCTGCAGGGAGCTAATGAGTGTGTGGTGTGTGCCAGTCTGAGGGACGGTCCCCACTGTGTGTCCTCGTGCCCTGAAGGAGTGATGGGGGAGAAGGGTCTCATCTTTAAATACCCCAACCAGCAGAGACGCTGTGAGCCCTGCCACCTCAACTGCACCCAGGGGTGAGAGACGAGTTCGAGAATGGGGGAGTGTGTGTGTGTGTGTGTGTGTGTGTGTGTGTGTGTGAGAGTGTGTGTGTGTGCATGTGTGTGTGTTAAATATCTCTCTGCTCTGTGTTTTCAGTTGCTCAGGCACAGGAATTGGGGACTGTTTGGACTCCTCCAGATTAGCTGATGGGTGAGTGTAGTCTTTATATTTTTTCTACCTGTGATTGACAAACTGATTTCTCCTCACTTTAATGACAATTAAAGTGTGTGCTGTGTTGTTTAGTCTAGAACATAGCATTATTCGTTATTGTATATCAGGTGCTGATTGGCTGATACCTGTGTCTCCTTCCAGCCAATCCATTACAGGTATCGTTTTGGGAGTTTTGGCAGCATTGATAGTGGGTTTCTCCATCTTTGTGATGAGTGTTCTGTACCGCCGAGGTCTTGCCATCCGGCGCAAGAGAGCAATGAGGAGATACCTGGAGAGTGGAGAGGTGAGGTGGGAGGGGATGGTGTGTGTGTGTGTGTGTGTGTGTGTGTGTGAGAAAGAGAGCGAGAGCGAGAGAGAGATAATTAGGATCTCTTAATAAGAGTATGTGTAGTCTATTGTCTTGATATGTGTTGATATTAACTGTGTGCATGACGTGTGTGTGTGTCTGTAGAGCTTTGAGCCATTGGACCCTGGTGAGAAGGTGGTCAAAGTTCATGCCAGGATCCTGAAGGTCACGGAGCTCCGTAAGATTAAGCTACTGGGCACCGGTGTGTTTGGGTCCGTCCACAAGGTGCTTACATCATCTGTCACCCTCTTAAAGCCCTATTATCATTATCACCCTACACCTCTCTGATGTTCCCACCATTTACCATAGGCCCTACATGTATTGTGCTACTTACCTTACTTGTCTTTGTTTCATTGTGAGGTAACCCCTCTCCCCCTCTCTTTTCTGCCATATTTCTCAGGGCATTTGGATTCCTGAGGGAGACTCAGTGAAGATCCCCGTGGCCATAAAGACTATTCATGATCAAATGGGGCAAAATACTTTCCATGAGATCACAGAGGTAAGAAAACACTCTCACACACCCACTCTCAAAACCCCCTGCCCCTTAAAAGCATACTGACCTGATACCCACTTATCTTGACTCTTGCTGCACCCCAACGACATTCATCACTGTTGCAGTTGTTAATATGTATATTATTACTTTTTTTTATTTTATTAAAATGTTTATTGTTTTTATTTCACTCAATGGTCATGCTGCTGTTCCCCTATGGTCATCCCCCCACCCCCTCAACAGTCTTTACTCTGCCTCCACCCCAATGGACATTTATTTATTCATCACACCTACAGTTGTTATGATGTACCGTACTGTATATAGTGCTATTTCTATTTCTATTGTTGTTTTTTATTACCATTTTCATTATTGTATTTCACTTAGTCCTGCATGTTGGAGCTCGAGGCCTAAGATTTTCACTGTAACCTGCAATCACACCTGCAACCCTGTACATGTAACTATTAAACACTGAATCGCTGAAAAAAATACAGAATCTGTTACTAATGCTGTTTGATTTTTTTCTGATAATCTCTGCAGCACATGTTGGTGATGGGTAGCTTGGACCACCAGTACATCGTCAGGCTCTTAGGTGTCTGTCCAGGTGCTAGTCTCCAGCTGGTCACCCAGCTCAGCAATCAGGGGTCCTTATTGGAGCACATCAGGCACCACAGGGACAGCCTGGACCCACAAAGGCTGCTCAACTGGTGTGTGCAGATTGCCAAGGTGAGACACCCTGTGTGTGTGTATGTGTATGTATGTATGTATGTATGTATGTATGTATGTATGTATGTATGTATGTATGTACAGTTGAAGTCGGAAGTTTACATACACTTAGGTTGGTCATTAAAACTTGTTTTTCAACCACTCCACAAATTTCTTGTTAACAAACTATAGTTTTGGCAAGTCGGTTAGGACATCTACTTTGTGCATGACACAAGTAATTTTTCCAACAATTGTTTCCATACAGATTATTTCACTTATAATTCACTGTATCACAATTCCAGTGGGTCAGAAGTTTACATACACCAAGTTGACTTGGAAAATTCCAGAAAATTATGTCATGGCTTTAGAAGCTTCTGATAGGCTAATTGACATCATTTGAGTCAATTGGAGGTGTACCTGTGGATGTATTTCAAGGCCTACCTTCAAACTCAGTGCCTCTTTGCTTGACATCATGGGAAAATCAAAAGAAATCAGCCAAGACCTCAGAAAAAACATTGTAGACCTCCACAAGTCTGGTTCATCCTTGGGAGCAATTTCCAAACTCCTGAAGGTACCACGTTCATCTGTACAAACAATAGTACGCAAGTATAAACACCATGGGACCACGCAGCCGTCATACCGCTCAGGAAGGAGACGCGTTCTGTCTCCTAGAGATTAACGTACTTTGGTGCGAAAAGTGCAAATCAATCCCAGAACAACAGCAAAGGACCTTGTGAAGATGCTGGAGGAAACAGGTACAAAAGTATCTATATCCACAGTAAAACGAGTCCTATATCGACATAAGCTGAAAGGCCGCTCAACAAGGAAGAAGCCACTGCTCCAAAACTGCCATAAAAATGCCAGACTACGGTTTGCAACTGCACATGGGGACAAAAATCATACTTTTTGGAGAACTGTCCTCTGGTCTGATGAAACAAAAATATAAATAAATAATGATCTCTACTATTATTCTGACATTTCACATTCTTAAAATAAAGTGGTGATCCTAACTGACCTAAAACAGGGAATTCTTACTAGGATTAAATATCAGGAATTGTGAAAAACAGAGTTTAAATGTATTTGGCTAAGGTGTATGTAAACTTCAGACTTCAACTGTATGTGTGTGTGCGTGTGTGTGGTTGTGTGTGTGCGTGTGTGTGGTTGTGTGTGTGTGTGTGGGTGGGTGACTGAGTGGTTGGGTGAGTGGGAGAGCGGGTGAGTGGGTGAGCAGGTGAGTGATTATGTACAGTGCCTTCAGAAAGCATTCACACCACTTGACTTGTTCCACATTTTGTTGTTACAGCCTGAATTTTTTACAAATGAATTAAAAGTGAAACGCTGATATGTCTTGGGTCAATAAGTATTCAACCCCTTTGTTATGGCAAGCATAAAAATGTACAGGAGTAAAATTTGCTTAACAAGTCACATAATAAGTTGCATGAACTCACACTGTGTGCAATAATAGTAGTTAACATGATTTTTTAATGACTACCTCATCTCTGTACCCCGCACATACAGTTCTCTGTAAGGTCCCTCAGTCGAGAAGTACATTTCAAGCACAGATTCAACCACAAAGAACAGGGAGGTTTTCCAATGCCTCGCAAAGAAGGGCAACTATTGGTAGATGGGTAAAAAAAAATGTATATATATCAATTACGCTTTGGATGGTGTATCAATACAACCAGTCACACAAAAATTCAGGCGTCCTTCCTAACTCAGTTGCCGGAGAGGAAGGAAACCGCTCTTGGATTTCACCATGAGGCCAATGGTGATTTTAAAACAGTTACAGAGTTAAACGGCTGTGATAACTAAGGAAGGATCAATAACATTGTAGTTACTTCACAATACTAACCTAAATGACAGAGTGAAAAGAAGGAAGCCTGTACAGAATAAAAATATTCCAAAACATGCATCCTGTTTGCAATAAGGCACTAAAGTAATACTGCAAAAAATGGGGCCAAGAAATGAACTTTTTGTCCTGAATACAAAGCGTTATGTTTGGGGCAAATGCAACACAACATCACTGAGTACCACTCTTCATATTTTCAAGCATGGTGGTGGCTGCATCATTTTATGGGTATGCTTCAGAGGAATAATGTATGTTAGTATTACTTGATTGCGAGAAATTTCAATAGTTTTTAATGGTATGCTGGGAAGGTTGTATTTATTGATAAACTAGGGACTAGGACTAGGGAGTTATTTAGGATGAAAAGAAACGGAATAGAGCTAAGCAGAGGCAAAATCCTAGAGGAAAACCTTGTTCAGTCTGCTTTACACCAGACATTGGGAGACAAATTCACCTTTCAGCAGGACAATACCCTAAAACACAAGGCCAAATATACACTGGAGTTGCTTACCAAGATGACATTGAATGTTCCTGAGTGGGCTAGTTATAGTTTTGACTTAAATCGGCTTGAAGGTCTATGGCAAGACTTGAAAATGGCTGTCTAGCAATGCTCAACTACCAACTTAACAGAGCTTGAAGGATTTTAAAATGAAATATGGGCAAATATTGTACAATCCAGGTATGTAAAGCTCTTAGAGACTTCAAAAACACTCACAGCTGTAACCGCTGCCAAAGGTAATTCTAATAATTGAATTTTTCTTCCACTTTGACATTACAGAGGATTGTGTGTGGATCATTGACAAAGAAAAAAGACAAATACATTTTAATCCCACTTTGTAATTTAACAAAATTTGTACAATGTCAAGTGTGTGAATACTTTCTGAAGGCACTGTATATGACAGAAGTGTGTGTGATGGTGTGTATGTGATAAAAGTGTGTGTGTGATTGTGTATGTGACCGAGGTGTGTGTGCTCTCCCTGTCAGGGTATGTACTATCTGGAGGAACACAGGATGGTCCACAGAAACCTGGCAGCCCGTAACGTGCTCCTGAAAAGTGACTACATGGTCCAGATCTCTGACTACGGCATCACAGACCTGCTCTACCCTGACGACAAAAAGTACTTCTACAATGAGGTGAAGGTGTGTTGGCTTCCTGGTTAGATCACATGGTCCGGAAAAACTAGCCATGGACAATGTCTCAGCCTACTATTTTATCTTCTGCTCAAAATTGGCTAGAAGCATCTGCTGTCATTTGTCTTAAGTGAGATGTTGACTAGATACATGCCCTGTTTCTATACGTGTTTTGTATTGCTGCCATGAACACTAACTAATATATGTTTTTTTCCAGTGGCCACAGGCTTTGAACTGGGTGTAATTCATGGTGACATAGTTCCCTGTCTTGTCTCTCTCACCACAGACGCCCATAAAATGGATGGCTCTGGAGAGCATCTTGTTCCGCAGATACACACATCAAAGTGATGTCTGGAGCTATGGTGAGTCACTGTGTGTGGGGGGAGGGGGGGGGGGGGGTGTTTCATGTGCTTTTATAGAGTTTTATATCTACGGAAAGTAAATTGAAAGTACTTGTGTGTATGTTGAGTTACCTTGATTTTATAGTGTATATTATATTTCTCCGTCTTGCAGGAGTGACAGTGTGGGAGATGATGTCATACGGGGTGGAGCCCTACTCGACGATGCGTCCACAGGATGTGCCAGACCTGCTGGAGAAGGGCGAGCGTCTCTCCCAGCCACCCATCTGCACCATAGATGTCTACATGGTCATGGTCAAGTGTGAGTGAGCATCCTCTCTCCTTCACCCTAAATACCAATATACCTAGCTATCCCTCTACCCACTCTGCCCAAGAAACGCTCCATTCAGTTTAGGAGTCTGAAAACAATAAACACTGGCCAGCTCACTGAATTAATCTCCTACCTGCCAGTTACTGACTCTGTGGCTCAATAAAACACTGCCTTGACCTCCATATTGGATGAAGTTGCTCCTTTGAAAACCTGCATGGTGTCTTTCTTCAATTCTTCTCCCTGGTACACTGAAGATCTACGCTCTCTCAAAGCAACTGGCCATCATCTATAAGAAAACTGGGCTAATTGTACATGCGCAGATGTATGAACAACATCATGAAGAATACAAACAGGCTTTAAATGCAGCTCGGACATCCTACTACTCCCAACTGATCAGCAACGGCAATGGTAACTCCTGGGTGCTGATCTCTACTGTGAGCAAGCTCCCCCAACCTGTCAACAATTATTCTACCTCAGCCTCCTCAGAAAGGTGCAATCAATACCTGTGCTTCTACCCAAGCAAAATTGAAAACATGAATAACACCATCCTGTCTTCTCCAGCCCCGGTAGTTGAGCTACCCAGTCCTACGCTCCCTAGATTAAGGTTATCCACCTTCACCACTGCAGCTGATGTAATCAAGCTGGTTAGGACAATGAAGCCCACCACTTGCTCACTCGACCCTATCCCCACCTCCCTTGTCACGACCTGCTTACCTGCTCTGGAACATTTCTTCACAGAAATAATCAACAAGTCTCTCATCACTGGATGTTTCCCTCCTCAGTTCAAACTGGCAGCTGTCACACCAGTACTTAAAAAGCCTGGATCTGACCCTGCCAACCTCCAGAACTACAGGCCTATTTCCAACCTGCCCTTCCTGAGTAAGCTCCTCGAACGTGCTGTTTCTAGCCAACTCCAAAACCATCTGGCCACTCACAAACTACTTGAGCCCTTCCAGTTGGGTTTCAGAGCTAGACACAGCACTGAGACTGCCCTGAATGCTGACTCTGGGGCTGCCAGCATCCTCATACTGCTGGACCTCAGCACAGCATTCAACACGGTCAGCCACGCCATCCTGCTGAATCGTATGGAGAAGCCCTTGGGCCTGTCAGACACTGTCCTGGACTTGTTCAGGTCGTATCTCACTGATCGCTACCAGTTTGTAGCCATCGGTCCAATTAGGTCACACACAGTTGTGGTCCAACAAGGGGTCCCTCAAGTCCTGGGGCCACTACTGTTTTGTATCTACATGCTGCCACTGGGAAACATCTTGAGGAAACACGGACTGGGCTTTCACTCTTTTGCTGATGATACTCCACAAACATTGACACCATAGCATTTGTAACTTGAATCTGATAATTATCTGTACAAAACAGTTAATCTGATAATATTTGAGGTGGACAATTATTTAAGATACTGTTTGAAGAGGTAGGGTTTCAGATGTTTTGGAAGATGGGCAGGGACTCTGCTGTCCTAGCTTCAGGGGGAAGCTGGTTCCACCATTTGGGGTGCCAGGACAGAGAAGAGCTTGGACTGGGCTGAGCGGGAGCTTCCCTCCCTTTGGGGTGGGAGGGCCAAGAGACCTGAGGTGGCAGAACGGAGTGCTAGGGTTGGGGTGTAGGGTTTGAGCATATCCTGAAGGTAGGGAGGGGCAGTTCCTCTTGCTGTTCCGTAGGTAAACACCATGGTCTTGTAGTGGATGCGAGCTTCGACTGCAAGCCAGTGGAGTGTATGGAGGAGTTGGGTGACATGAGAGAACATTGGAAGGTTGAAAACCAGGCGGGTTACAGCGTTCTGGATAAGTTGCAGGGGTTTGATGGCACAAGCGGGGAGCCCAGACAACAGCGAGTTGCAGTAGTCCAGACGGGAGAGGACAAGTGCCTGGATTAGGACCTGCGCCGCTTCATGTGTGAGGTAGGGTCATACTCTACAGATGTTGTAGAGCATGAACCTGCAGGAGCAGGTCAATGCTTGGATGTTTGCAGAGAACGACAGGGTGTTGTCCAGGATCACGCTAAGCGTCTTTGCACTCTGAGAAGGCAACACTGTAGTGTTGTCAACCTTGATGGAGAGGTCTTTGAGCGGGGAGGCCTTCCTCGGGAGGAAGAGCAGTTCCATCTTGTCGAGATTGAGCTTTAGGTGGTGGGCCGACATCCAAGTTGAGATATCTGCCAGGCACGCAGAGATGCGTGTCGCCACCTGGGTGTCAGAAGGGGGGAAGGAGAAAGGTAGTTGAGTGTCATCCGCATAGCAATGATAGAAGACACCATGTGAGGATATGACGGAGCCGAGTGACTTGGTGTATAGAGAGAAGAGGAGAGGGCCTAGAACCGAGCCCTGGGGGACACCAGTAGTGAGAGTACGTGGTGCAGACACAGATCCCCCTCCACGTCACCTCGTAGAGTAGTTCTGTGTGAGTGAGATCAGTGGACTCAATAGGCTGAGTGAATGAGTAGTGGATGTCGTCACCCTTTTTTTCAAAGTGGTTGACAAGTCGTCCGCAGAGAGAGAGGAGGGAGGGGGAGGGGGTAGAGGATTAAGGAGGAAGGAGAAGGTGTAAAAGAGTTTCCTAGGTTAGAGGCAGAAGCTTGAAATGTAGAGTGGTAGAAAGGGGCTTTAGCAGCGAATACAGAGGAAGAGAAGGTAGAGAGGTGGGAGTGAAAGGATGATAGGTCCTCCGGAAGTTTAGTTTTCCTCCATTTTCGCTTAGCTGCCCGCAGCCCTGTCCTGTAAGCTCGCAATGAGTCACTCAGCCACGGAGCAGGAGGGGAGGGCCGAGCTGGCCGGGAGGAAAGAGGACAGTGCGAGTCATAAGATGCGGATAGGGAGGAGAGTAGGGTCGAAGAGGCAGAATCAGGAGACAGGAGGGAGAAGGATTTAGTAGAAGGGAGAGATGATAGGATAGAAGAGGAGTGAGTAGTGGGAGAGAGAGGGAAGATTGCGACGGGATATGACCATCTGGGTAGGGGCCTATTGGTTAGGGTTGGAGGAAAGAGAGACGGGAAAGAGAGAGTTGGAAATAAATTAATCGAAGGCAGACGTTGGAAGGTTGAAGTCGCCAAGTACGAAGAGCGGTGAGCCATCGTCAGGAAATGAGCTTATCTCCAAGGGCACCTGGTGGGCAATAGATTACCATAATGTTAAGCTTGAGTGGACAAGTGACAGTGACAGCATGGAATTCAAATGAGGAGATGGACAGGTGAGAGAGGGAGAAAATAGAAAATCTCCACTTAGGAGAAATATGTAGACCTGTGCCACCACCGCAATGACCAGTTGCTCTCGGACTATGAGAGAAAACATAGTTAGATAAAGAAAGAGCAGCTGGAGTAGCAGTGTTCTCTGGGGTGATCTATGTCTCCATCAGGGCCAAAAAGTCAAGGGACTGAAGGGCAGCATAGGCTGAGATGAACTCGGCGTTCTTGACCGCAGATCGGCAGTTCCAACACTGCCAGAGACCCGGAATTCCACATGGGTTGTGCGCGCAGGGTACACTAAATAACGTTTTTTTTATTAATATATTTTTCAAATTCAGCACACCTACTTCCCGCGGCTATGACTGACACTGCCAATACCACTGCACTCCTGGTCAGCTGCCTGCAGGACATCGAAGCATGGATGCAGTTGAGTTTCCTGCAGTTAATCTGCAAAAAGACAGAGGTTGTCCTGATTGGCACTCGCACCATCATAAACAACAACAGCAGCTACAGCCTCAATATTGATGGTGTCAAGGTCCTCCTCTCCAGTGAGGTTTGCAACCTGGGTGTGATATTGGACAGTCAGTTCTCGTTTGAGGCCCACATCAAGAATATGACCAAAGTTTCATTTGTCCATTTTTTACGGAACATTGCCAGGTTACGACTTATGCTATTACAACCTGCAGCTGAGCGACTCCTACACACCTTTATTTCATCCCGTCTGGACTATTGTAACGCCCTTTTTGTTGGCGCATCTGCCAAGTGCCTAAACAGGCTACAATATGTCCAGAACTGTGCTGCATGTGTCCTCACCCACGTGTCCCTAGAGTGCACGTGTCCTTAGAGTACACTGGATGTATTACATTGTAATAATTTGTTTTGTTCTGAAAGTATAGTTGATAAAGAATGCACAAACAACTGGCACTTTATTTTCAATGGGACTCACGTGGCATTATCCTAATTTACAGGCTGGATGATTGACGAGAATGTCCGTCCCACCTTCAAGGAACTGGCCATTGAGTTTACCAGAATGGCCAGGGACCCGCCGAGGTACCTTGTTATCAAGGTAAGACAGAATGCCACCCTTGGGAGAAATCAGTAGCCATACAAACCAATATGCTAAGAATGTTTTTTTTTAAAGTCCACTCCCAAATGCCAGTCATTACAGTCCAAAGACTATGCCATTTACTTGACAGTCACACTCTTGTTCATCCAAACCAAATGTCAGCTCATGAGGATAATAAAGATGTTGTTGGAGAATTTGATGATGATGATTATGATGATGATGACTGAAGTTGCATTCCACCAGGGGGAATGCAGCCCGTCGGACTCTCCCTCAGATGTGTCTCACCAGCGAGGCACGAAGCTGGATGACATGGAGGCGGGGCAGGAGGACCAGAATGAGAAGACGCTAGGGGACGGCACACCCCCTCTCTACCGGTCACAGGCCAGGAGTCTCTCGCGACTTTCACGAATGGACAGTCACAGGGTGAGGGCTCATATGAGGCATCTCTCCATATTCATACACTATATAAGGAGCCAGGAGTTTTTCCGGACCATGTGACCTAACCAGGAAAACCCCTGGCCCGTATAATTTGGTTACCCTGTTTTCTTCTAATCCCCATCCTGTCCTGTCCCATTTCTGTATTCCCCTCAGGGTGTTCACAGCAGTCAGGCTGGATACCTGCCCATGACCCCAGGACTGGATAACCCTCAGGTCAGTCACTGGAGATGAACCATGACCATTTTGCAGACAAAGATACATGAAAACCTACTGAAAACGTGAACATGCTAACACGTCTTCCACCCTATACCAATCCTATAGGGTTGATCACTCATATTGCATTATACCCCATATTCCCCTGTATAGATGGTGTGGCCGTCAGCGTCCCGCTCTCGCCTCAATTCCGCCCGCACCATGTCAGAGAGTTCCGAAGGGCGGGGCACGGTGGTGGAGCTGGAGATGAGCGAATACTTTTTATTGGCTGGCAGCATGAGGAGGAAGCGGCATCGGGAGGACAGTGCCTACATGTCCCAGAGGGACAGCATGTCAGGGGGGCTGCCTGAGACCCCCTCCCCTGACACAGAGGGGGAGAAGGACCAGAGCGGATACATGCTCCCTGGACTGGGTGACAGCCCAGAGAGAGGTGATATACCATAGATAGATTACGCAAACATTTACACACACAATATGCATAGAAACATCTTTGCGTTTCTGTCTATTGAACATATTGCATTTATAAATGTTCATTAAGCCATATAAAAAGAGTATAGGTTTTTGCATGACATGTGTTTTAGGATGGTTGCATGGTCATTGTTATAACTCTGAGTATATGAATGTCAGTATTAATTGCAAGAGTACTCAGATACAGTTGAAGTCGGAAGTTTACATACACTTAGGTTGGAGTCATTAAAACTTGTTTTTCAACCAATCCACAAATTTCTTGTTAATAAACTATAGTTTTGGCAAGTCGGTTAGGACATCTACTTTGTGCATGACACAAGTAATTTTTCCAACAATTGTTTACAGACAGATTATTTCACTTATAATTCACTGTATCACAATTCCAGTGGGTCAGAAGTTTACATACACTAAGTTGACGGTGCCTTTTATACAGCTTGGAAAATTCCAGAAAATGATGTAATGGCTTTAGAAGCTTCTGATAGGCTAATTGACATCATTTGAGTCAATTGGAGGTGTACCTGTGGATGTATTTCAAGGCCTACCTTCAAACTCAGTGCCTCTTTGCTTGACATCATGGGAAAATCAAAAGAAATCAGCCAAGACCTCAGAAAAAAATTGCAGACCTCCGCAAGTCTGGTTCATCCTTGGGAGCAATTTCCAAATGCCTGAAGGTACCACGTTCATCTGTACAAACAATAGTACGCAAGTATAAACACCATGGGACCACGCAGCCGTCATACCGCTCAGGAAGGAGACGCGTTCTGTCTCCTGGAGATGAACGTACTTTGGTGCGAAAAGTGCAAATCAATCCCAGAACAACAGCAAAGGACCTTGTGAAGATGCTGGAGGAAACAGGTACAAAAGTATCTATATCCACAGTAAAACGAGTCCTCTATCGACATAACCTGAAAGGCCGCTCAGCAAGGAAGAAGCTACTGCTCCAAAACCGCCATAAAAAAGCCAGACTACGGTTTGCAACTGCACATGGGGACAAAGATCGTACTTTTTGGAGAAATGTCCTCTGGTCTGATGAAAAAAAAATTGAACTGTTTGGCCATAATGACCATCGTTATGTTTGGAGGAAAAAGGGGGTTCTTGCAAGCTGAAGAACACCAGCCCAACCGTGAAGCATTGGGGTGGCAGCATCATGCTGTGGGGATGCTTTGCTGCTTTGCTATTTTGTGAAGTGCTGGTGCACTTCACAAAATAGATGGCATCATGAGGAAGGAAAATTATGTGGATATATTGAAGCAACATCTTAAGACATCAGTCAGGAAGTTAAAGCTTGGTCGCAAATGGATCTTTCCAAATGGACAATGACCCCAAGTATACTTCCAAAGTTGTGGCAAAATAGCTTAAGGACAACAAAGTCAAGGTATTGGAGTGGCCATCACAAAGCCCTGACCTCAATCCTATAGAAAATTTGTGGGCAGAACTGAAAAGGCGTGTGCGAGCAAGGAGGCTTACAAACCTGACTCAGTTACACCAGCTCTGTCAGGAGGAATGGGCCAAAATTTACCCAACTTATTGTGGGAAGCTTATGGAAGGCTACCAGAAACGTTTGACCCAAGTTAAACAATTTAAAGGCAATGCTACCAAATACTAATTGAGTGTATGTAAACTTCTGACCCACTGGGAATGTGATGAAAGAAATAAAAGCTGAAATAAATCATTCTCTCTACTATTATTCTGACATTTCACATTCTTAAAATAAAGTGGTGATCCTAACTGACCTAAGACAGGGAATTTTTACTAGGATTAAATGTCAGGAATTGTGAAAAACTGAGTTTAAATGTATTTGGCTAAGGTGTATGTAAACTTCCGACTTCAACTGTAATTTCAGATCTCTGGATCACCTTACTCACTCCTTTTTTTCTTGTCACTCTTCTCCACAGAGACCCTACTGTCTAGCTCCCAGGTCACCCTGCCTCACGGGAGGACGTCCAAGGTCCCCTCATACCCATCAGGACCCTTGGAGGACCATGACAGTGCCTGTGAGGAATATGAGTACATGAACAAACAGGCGTGCATGATGTATCTCTCCCCCAGGCAGCAACCTGGACATTCCAAAGATGGCCCACAGCGGCTGAAGATGAACAAGAGGCAACACTCTTCTGTGCCAGACACAGAGTACACAAAGTGCACGGGGTACAGGACATCAGCTGGGGAGAACAGGGGAAGCCAAACCAAGAATGAAGAACACCAGGAATATGAATTCCCTGCTCTCAACTCTGATTCAGACGACACAGAAGAACGGGGCTCTGGTGATGTGGAATACAAGTACATGGACATTCGAAGTGTTGGACCAGAGGCCAGTGAAAGACCAGACGATCCCCCAACACGAGATGTCCCTCATCCTGGAGCTACGCCTAAACAGCGGATGAGAGGCGAGAGAGATGTGGAGGAAGAGGAAGACGAATACGTAGAAGAATACGTAGAAGAGGACAACTATCAGTACATTAACAGGCAGCCCAAGCTGCGGCAGGCTCTGCGAGGCAGGGAGGGGCTGAGGATGCAAGGAGGAGGAGAGGGAGAGGTGGATGAGTATGAGGACATGGATTCCCTGGCCGCCCCTGGAGCTGGGGACCCAGTGGAGTACGAGAATTTGCAGAGAGAAGGTGAAGGTGCAATGGGAGGCATGGGGGGTCAGCACACAGGGATGGGGGCATTTGTAAAAGTGCATGCAGGAGTAGGGGTGGGGGAGCCTAGCGGCGGAGATCGCTCCTTTGACAATCCAGACTACTGGCAGAGCAGGTTGTTCCTGAAGCTTAACGCTGTGAGCACGTAGGGAAGTGGACCTCCCTCATTGGCAGTGAAGAGGATAGCCGCCTCTGTAGCTCTTCAATGCCAATTGAATTCAATGAAGGACTAGGGGAGGGGAGAAAGCCATCCAAAGTCATCCAAATATTAAAAATATGTGTGCCATGTTTGTATCTTTAATGTGTCTGTTACAGGTTTACATTGATCATGTTTTTATCCATAATAACATAAGATCTTGGATGTTTTCTTTCTGTATTATAAGTGGAAGGCACTGTGAGGGAGGCACTAAATGAAATGGCCAGATTACAAGCTTTGTATTTGTGTTTACTTATAAGAACAAAAAGTGTATTTGTACAATGTCCTTTTTCTATGGTATTTTCATGTTTTTAATATGTTAATGTAACCTTTAAGTGATATTATTGAGCTTTTTTTTTTATAATAAAAATATTTGAAGAATGTATATGATTGTTATTTATCTGGGGGACATACTTCTCATTCAGTTTGTTGATACTAGATCTTTAATTCATTTCTATTGTGCAGTCTTGCTGTTTTCTTCTTACACAGTCCCACTTATTGGGGTAAGTGAGAAATAAATGGGCACGTTCCATGTCATATTTATTGCAGTTGGTTTGAGCAGATTATCCAAGCTCAACACCAGAAACAACATCCATGCTTAAAAGCGCAGCATGCACTCTGGTACCAAAATCCATGCCTCAGGCCGACCGTTCCCTCACCTGGGCAGTGTGCGTGCACCTACTGTCATTTTGTCCTAGCTCTCCAGTTCAGTGCTTCTTCATTCATTTATCTTTTCAGAAACCAAATCAGTTTTGACCATATTCGACTATCAAATAAATCAGAATGCTTTCATATGGTTAGCCTACTTTGAAGACGCTCATAAATGTCCCTCTCCCCTTAAGCATAAAAGAAAAATGGCACAGTGCTGAAATTCCCATTTCCACGATTAACACAAACTTAATTCAAAACAGATGATCATGTTGTTTTTGTATTTTATCACATTATAAAGTAACAACTTGTCTTGCCAAAAACAGTAAGGCACCCTGTTGGGATTGTGCTTCTCTCTGTATACTGTGCTCATTGAGTATAGTCTGGATTGAGGATAATCACTTAATCATTTTCTGTCGGTATCTAAAGGACTCTTCTCCAGAGCATAGACTGCTCCAGAGTCACCCGGAGAATATGATGATCATGATGATGTGTCACCCACATTTTGCACAATATTTACCACTTGAGTCAGTAATGATTAGAAGCTCTCTTGGCATGTTATACTCGCAGCAAAGATGCTGCTCAGTCACACAACAATACAAAAAAAGATGACCTGGAACGCAATCCATGTTGTGGCTGTAGCTGAATGTGTGAAATTGAATGTATTATGTGGTGCTACGTGTATAGTTATAGTAACTTGAAGGGGATTAGAAACTACAATCTAAACCATGAAGCTTCACTTCCCATTTTGGCGGCATGGTTGTTGTGACGTTTTTTTCTTACGTAGGAAGAAGATGGGAGGAGAATCTGGGGCGAGGAGGCCGGGCTTGAGCAGCGGAGTGGAGCTTTGGATGTGTGTCGGTCTTGGTGCTTGACACATCGGGAAAACTGTTGAATAGAGAGCCGCTGTCAAGATGTCTGACAACGAAGAACAAGAACAGACCATCGCGGAGGACTTGGTTGTCACCAAGTACAAAATGGGAGGTGACATCGCCAACCGTAAGTGTCCGATCAGAGTGGCTTGAAATGAGGTGACCTACTCTTGTCGGCCATTCGTTTCGTACACACAACCCGCAGTGACAGTGTAGTCACCAGAACAGGTAGGCACGTACCAATGGCCGTGTTCGACAGCATCAAAACAGTGAATGTATCATGGGTAAATTGTGACTGACTGATCTACAAAGAATAATGAGTCGTTATTTATGATGCAAGGTAATTTGTAGATCAGCCAGTTGGCAGTCGCCTGTAGCACTGTCGGCTGTGTCAAACAAGGCCAATCAATGACTAAGGCACAGTCCAACAGCCATGTGCTTTGACATGCTAGTCGCAGTTTAGAAACGTGTGGAATAGAAATGTCTAGTAACTGTTAGTGCTAGCAAGCTGACTTCACGTGAACGTTATTTTGTAAAAAACGTAGGCTAACTGTTAACGTTATATCATCAACAGTCACATCAGACAGCTAGCTAACGAGTTAGGAAGGACACTTGTATCTTTGTAGTGACTGGGTGTATTGATACACCATCCAAAGTGTAATTAATAACTGCACCATGCTCAAAGGGATATTCAATGTCTGCTTTTTGTATTTTTACCCATCTACCAGTAGGTGCTTTTCTTTGCGAGGCATTGGAAAACCTCCCTGGTTTTTGTGGTTGAATCTGTTTTTGAAATTCACTGCTCGACTGAGGGACCTTACAGATAATTGAATGTGTGGCGTACAGAGATGACGTAGTCATTCAAAAATAATGTTTAACACTATTACACACAGTGAGTCCATGCAACTTATTATGTGACTTGTTAAGCACATTTTTTCTTCTGAACTTATTGTGGCTTGCCATAACAAAGGGGTAGAATGCTTATTGACTCAAAAAATTTCAGCTCTTCATTTTTAATTAATTTGTAAAAATGTCTAAAAACATAATTCCACTTTGGCATTATGGGGTATTGTGTGTAGGCCAGTGACACAAAATCTCAATTTAAAACATTTTTAAATTCAGCCTGTAACACAACAAAGTGTGGAAAAAGTCAATGGGTATGAATACTTTCTGAAGGCACTGTATGTTTGGCTGGTTTCCAGCTATGGACTTCAGAGACTGGCCTCAGGCCCTGGGTAATGACTCATAACCCAAAATTGAAACCAGTTAAATGGCTGCTGATTCATCATGACATAATACAACCATAATGGATAGTCTTATTCAAAGAGAATGCATATGGTGTGATTGAATGTAATGATGACATCTTTGGTGTCACTTCTACACTCTAATCTTTTTCATCTCATATTTGTCTGACACCTCTCCAGCTCCTATTCCTCTGACCACCCTCTCTCCTGTAATGCAGAGGCCCTGCGTGTGGTGATTGAGGCGGCCAAGTCAGGGGTGTCTGTGGTCAGCCTGTGTGAGAAGGGAGATGCCCACATCATGGCCGAGACTGGCAAGGTCTTCAGGAAGGAGAAAGACTTGAAGAAAGGTGAGGGGCCGGGGTGGAGAGGAGAAATGCCTGGGTGAGAAGTGCAAGAGGGATGGGGCTATTTACTGTACTGATAAGACTGTTTGCCCTGTCTCCCATCGTTGTTTATGTAGGGCAGGTGGTTCAAAGCCATGGTTGCTCTCGTGAGTGGGACAGTATGTTGTCATACTGTCTCCAAATTAGAAACACCACCTGATCAGTTCAGCCTGTGGCAGCAGTCTGCATGTGTCCATGCCACACATTCAAAATGGGCCTGAACATGGGATGGGTCATTGAATATGCCAGTGAGATGACAGAACTATGAAGAGTGATATGGGACAAAAAGAGGGACATTATTTGACATCAGTCACGTCTCTCTCACAAACAATACAGATTATTTTCAATTAAAGATTTGGTGGTTCTCTCTTCCCTCTTCCAGGCATTGCCTTCCCCACCAGCGTCTCAGTCAATAACTGTGTTTGCCACTTCTCTCCCCTGAAGAGTGACCCAGACTACACACTTAAAGATGGGGACCTGGTCAAAATGTAGGAACCTCCATCTACAGTAACGTGGCCCCCCTCACTCTGTGTGTCTCCAGTCTCCCAAGTGTGTGTTGTCTTTCCCCTCTCTCGTCTGTCATCTTGTGTGCTGTGTTCTCATGCGTCTGATGCTTGGCTGTTGGCTTGTATTTTCTGTTAGATCTCGTCTCCCTGTATGTCTATTTGCGCCTTATGTCTATCTGTCATGTGGCTAATGATAAGTAATTGGATTGGATTACATGTCTTGTTCATCTGGCATTGGTGTTCAATTGTCACTATGGCCATTGCATAGTTGAACAAGCCTCTTCATCTTAGTTGTTGGATTGCAACTTTTGTCTTCATCTCTCTGACCCTACCTTTCCTGTTTTCTGTCAATATATATAAGGATGTCACTGTTTGGAATATTGTGGGTGTTATGTGTTTAAGAGCCAACTAGATGGTTAAATGCCAGCTTGTGTTGTGGTACTGCAGGGCCGTGCTGTTCTTAGAATCTGTTGAAAAGTAACCTTTTTCATTACTATAACAACATCCTGTGTGTGTCCTTCCACCATGACAATGAAATTGCTAGTGTTGCTGTCTTTGGGATACACTGAGCCCCCTGCAGTATTGTTATAGGTGAACATGAACAAAGCAATAACAAAACGTACCCTGTGACCATATCCTCACTCAATCACACACATTCGATTAATTCATATTTGTCTGACCTTGTATTTTTTGTAGACTTCTTTCCCATATGATCTTTGGAAGCACAACATGACTGACATTTTGTCTCTACCTAAATTGAAATAATCATCTCATCGAGTCCTTTTACACAATTACATACAGTGCTTTCAGAAAGTATTCATACTCCTTGACTTATTCCACAGTTTGGTGTGTTACAGCCTGAATTCAAAATGGATTAAATATATTTCCTCACCCATCTACACACAATACCCCATAATGACAAAGTGAAAACATGTTTTTAGAAATGTTTCCAAATGTATTGAAAATGAAATACAGAAATATCTCATTTATGTAAGTATTCCCACCCCTGAGTCAATACTTTTTAGAAGCACCTATTCAGGCTGTAACACAACAAAATGTGGAATAAGTCAAGGGTTATGAATACTTTCTGAAGGCACTGTAGATAATAGATATCAGACACTGGTTGGCAGAAATAATTCTGAATGTCTGATGCACTTCTGTTTTCCTCATGACTCATTCCATCTCTCTTTTCTTCTTTTATTTTCTGTCTCTGCCCCCTTTATTTCTGCAGTGATCTTGGAGTCCATGTTGATGGCTTCATCTCGAATGTAGCTCATAGCTTTGTTGTGGGAGCTACTAAGGTATGTACCTTGTATGACCTTATGACTTGGAGTTTTTGATCCCTCATCGCAACAGGCTTAAAGTTCCCACATCTTCTCACCCCACCTCTGCCCTGTACATGTAGGAGGCTCCAGTGACAGGGAAGAAAGCTGATGTGATCAATGCAGCTCACATGTGTGCGGAGGCAGCCCTACGCCTTGTCAAGCCTGGCAACCAGAACTCAAAGGTGACGGAGGCATGGAACAAGATTGCTCAGTCATTCAAATGCACGGCCATTGAGGGTGAGTGCCTTCACTAGTTAAGTTGACTCTGATTCATGGGTCTAAGATAGTGAATCAACAGTTTTATCTGACCTTTAACGTCTGAAATGTAGGGAGAAAACGTTGCAATGTTTTTTTGTACCTTTCTGTTTAAGGTATGTTATCTCATCAGCTGAAGCAGCACATCATCGATGGAGAGAAAACCATCATTCAGAACCCCACAGACCAGCAAAGGTACATTGTCCAAGCACTTGAACACGTGTAGAGAATAGTGCTTTGACGAAGTGCAATACCACAAAGGCAGACAGGAGGACACTAAGACTGAATGATAACTGAAAGCTTTGAGTTATGTGAGTTGCTCTGATTGGCTACTGTTGGTGACCGTCGGCAGGAAGGACCATGAGAAGGCGGAGTTCGAGGTGCACGAGGTCTACGCTGTGGATGTGTTGGTTAGCACTGGTGAAGGGAAGGTAAGAGAGAGGGAGATTTTTTTTTTTTTTTCTGCCCCCATGAACTGTCCTAAGAAGCCGCATACTAATCTTTTTCCTTTACATTTGTTACCTGGCTAAATGTGACTGTCCAATATAGATGTTTCTATGCTCCTATCCCCTGCCCAGGCCAGGGATGGAGGCCAGAGGACCACAATATACAAGAGGGACCCCAGTAAGCAGTACGGGCTGAAGATGAAGACCTCCCGCATGTTCTTCAGTGAGGTGGAGCGACGCTTCGACGCCATGCCCTTCACTCTCAGGTAGGATACCAAATGGAAGCACATTAGAAGTGTCAGAGAGATGTCATAACCAACCCCATATCAAGACCATACTCTTACCATAACAGACTTATCATCTCTGATGCTGTGAGTCAGGTGCTTTGAATGTCCGTTGGAGATCTCCTCAGCTAACGGGTCTGTCCTGTTCCTCTCCTCTCAGGGCGTTTGAGGATGAGGCCAAAGCCCGCCTGGGCGTGGTGGAGTGTGCCAAACACGAGCTGCTACAGCCTTTCAGTGTGCTCAACGAGAAGGAGGGTGAGTCTCTGCATCTGTCTTTTCCTATCCTCTGTGCTCTTTCTTTCTGTTTCGAGTTACCTGTCTCATTATCTCAGTCTCTCTCAGGAGAGTTTGTGGCCCAGTTTAAGTTCACCGTGCTGCTGATGGCCAACGGCCCCCATAGAATCACCAGCGGACCCTTTCAGCCAGAGCTCTACAAGTCAGAGCACGAGGTGCAGGACGCAGAGCTGAGGGTAAGTAAGGCTCCCAGCCCACAGCCCCAGGCAACCTGAAAGGCTTTTCACCGCTCATATTACATGAATAACTATTAATGAACAGGGGTTTGCACCTCAGAGCCTAAACTAAGTAACTGCATAAGGGAACGGTGAGATGGCATCTGAGGTTTTGACCAGTCTATTTCCACACTTGCCAGCTCTGTTGTGGCTGTCTTCCATGGAAGAAATCTCTTGATTGACAACAAACAATCCATCTCTCTCCCCCAGACTCTACTACAGAGCTCAGCCAGTCGCAAAACACAGAAGAAGAAGAAAAAGAAGGTATTTGATATGAAAAACGAATTAAGTCGATACAGTCTGTTCGCTCTCTTCATTCTTATCGGTGCCCTCCTTCCTCTCTCCTAGGCCTCCAAGACTGTGGAAACCGCTACTGGACAGCCAACTGAGGAGAGCAACAAGGCGGCAGTGTAGATGGCTACCTGTATTCTGACACATGCATACACACACACCCCCCAAAGAATTGAAACTTCACAAGTGAATCTAAATCTTCCCCAACTGTTAGCTCTTTTTGACCCTCATGCCCTTTTCTAGCATTTGGCCCATTTAATACATCTGATAGATCTCAAGTCTGTTGAAAATACAATTTTGTGTTCCACATCATTCAGTTGATTCTGAATAAGGGTCACACCCATGAAACAAATTGTTGTAAACAACATTATTTGCCATTGATACTTAACTGAAATATGAGTTTGGGGAAACACAGTTTTGGAATATGATCGATCAATAACCTTTTGTAGCGTTGTGTTTGTACACCTTATCATTAGGTGATGTAGCTACCTGACTTCAGAAATGTTGCCATCTATAGGTGAAGTTTTATAAAGTTTCTAAATTAAAAATGTAATTAAAGCAAGTTTTGTTTTAATTATTTTAAACTGGATGATATTTGTTGTGAAATAATGTTGGGGTGCCAGTCACACTTCGTAATAATTCCAAACCCTGATAAGCTGACTTGGTACTTTCATTGTACATGAAGGAGACCGAGTTAGCCACTCAAATATTTTGGCCTGGAATCATATTTGGTTAAAGTGTTACAATTATTCAAACACGACAGAATTGAACGGTTAGAGCACAGAATTTAGAGAACAGTATTCTCGCACCAACACCTGAATGGTTGGTTATGGGAACGAACCCTGCTACACTTACTGCCACCCCCCTCTTTCCTGGTAGGGGATTTTTTTAGGGAATGGTGCACTGTTTTCATTCAAACAATTTTAGTAATTGTTTTTTTTCAACGATACCTACTTTTTATCAACCATCTACCAACATATGAAACTTTTTAGTGGAGCTTTTAAACAGTCTTCATTCAGGACTGCTTGAAATCATATTTTATGCAAACCCATTATTCTGCTAAGTAAGATCTGTAATCTGGCAAAAAAGCTAAATTGATAAATTGTAGTAGAATAATTTTAGTGACAGGAAATTAGGTAATTAGTTAGCCTACTTTTATATGAAAACTTTGCCCACATTTTTGATGTAATTGCATATAATATTTTTTTTTTTTATAACTTCCTAATTTGGTCAGCTCAGACATGCACAAAGAGTTCATGTAAGTCAACATACATATCCCCTGTGTTTTTGTTTGTTTTATTTTCAGCAAATGAAGAAAACATTCAATAAACTTTATAATACCAGAGCCTTGTTGTTATTTTTAAAAATGGAGTTTCCACTATTCTTCTATTGATGCTTTTGCTGTATGAAACAAAATGGAACACAATTCTACCATCAGAGCACAACTCATGGACTGTATAGGGCACAGATGAAAATAGTATATAATCTATGGGTGCCTGGACCATTCAGTTTCATTATGATCAGAGGTTTCTGATTATATATCTGTGAGGAGGACTGCAGATGTTTAGTGTGGTGAAAAATACCTTGCTCACAGAGTTGTTAAACCTGTCTTTAATTTGCTTGATAAGGTTTTAAAGGAAACTGACATGGATGGAAAGTTTCAAGTTTTTAAAGTCGTGCACAAGTACATTAAAATGTTTTTTTTTTTTTTTTTTTATCAAGTAGAACAAAAACACACAAGGAATAGAAATAAGAACATGAGAAAGGTCAGTTCCCGGGTCAGTGACAATACCATATTTACAATAGAGCCCCACAGTGGAGGTGTCACAATACCCATAAAACCTAGCGGTCAAACGGAAATGGTTCCAATCGTTTTTTCCACCATACATTTTTCTCATGTAGGCTTACCCTGGCGTGACGTTGTGATAACCATGTAACTCTCTCGGACAAGGGGACTTTTATTTATTCTAATTTGAAAATGCTAATTAGCATCAAAGTATGAAAATGTATGCACTCACTAACTGTAAGTCGCTCTGGATAAGAGCGTCTGCTAAATGACTAAAATGTAAATGTAAAGTAGACATCATGCAAAACTACAAATCCCTGCAAGCTCCTGCACGTCATCTCTAGATGACACCTTTGCTAACAGGTATTGTGTCAATTGAAAACTTGCACAAGACAGTTCACAGAATTGTCCATTTAAAGAAATGTAGCCAATTTATGCATTACTACATTTAGCTAACATTAGATAGCTAATCCAGAGATTCTTACCTTTGCCTCGATCCGGCACTCTCGTCCAGATCATCATGGCAATTGTAGTTCTTTATGATAGCCACATTAGCAGCTAATTAGCATTTCATTTTTGGGGGGTAAATACAGGTGAATATACTGATAAAAGTCACCTTGTCCTAGAGAGATTTACACGGTTATCAAAACGTCACGAAAAGGGTAAGCCTACACGAAACAACACTTATTTTAAGTGTTTTTAAAATCCCCTATGGGAAAAATGAATGGTGGAAAAACGATTGGAACCATTTCCCTGTTTGACCGCTAGGTTTTTTGACTCACACTGTGGTACTCTATATTTACATTTACATTTTAGTAATTTAGCAGACGCTCTTATCCAGAGCGACTTACAGTTAGTGAGTGCATACATATTTTTTTTCATACTGGCCCCCCGTGGGAAACGAACCCACAACCCTGGCGTTGCAAGCGCCATGCTCTACCAACTGAGCTACAGGGGACTACATGCAGGGATGCTGAAGGGGCTCCAGCCATTACCAAGAGCGGTCCCTTTTAAGGTGCCACAAACCTCCTGTGACCCCTACCTACATGTACATATTACCTCAATTACCTCGACTTAACTGTACACCCGCACATTGACTCGGTACTGGTACCCATGTACAGTTGAAGTCGGAAGTTTACATACACTTAGGTTGGAGTCATTATAACTTGTTTTTCAACCACTCCACACATTTCTTGTTAACAAACTATAGTTTTGGCAAGTTGGTTAGGACATCTACTTTGTGCATGACACAAGATATTTTTCCAACAATTGTTTACAGACAGATTATTTCACTTATAATTCACTGTATCACAATTCCAGTGGGTCAGAAGTTTACATACACTAAGTTGACTGTGTCTTTAAACAGCTTGGAAAATTCCAGAAAATGATGTCATGGCTTTAGAAGCTTCTGCTAGGCTAATTGACAACATTTGAGTCAATTGGAGGTGTACCTGTGGATGTATTTCAAGGCCTACCTTCAAACTCAGTGCCTCTTTGCTTGACATCATGGGAAAATCAAAAGAAATCAGCCAAGACCTCAGAAAAAAAATTGTAGACCTCCACAAGTCTGGTTCATCCTTGGGAGCAATTTCCAAACGCCTGAAGGTACCACGTTCATCTGTACAAACAATAGTACGCAAGTATAAACACCATGGGACCACGCAGCCGTCATACCGCTCAGGAAGGAGACGCGTTCTGTCTCCTAGAGATGAACGTTCTTTGGTGCAAAAAGTGCAAATCAATCCCAGAACAATGGCAAAGGACCTTGTGAAGATGCTGGAGGAAATAGGTACAAAAGTATCTATATCCACAGTAAAACGAGTCCTATATTGACATAACCTGAAAGGCCGCTCAGCAAGGAAGAAGCCACTGCTCCAAAACCGCCATAAAAAAGCCAGACTACGGTTTGCAACTGCACATGGGGACAAAGATCATACTTTTTGGAGAAATGTCCTCTGGTCTGATGAAACAAAAATATAAATAAATAATTCTCTCTACTATTATTCTGACATTTCACATTCTTAAAATAAAGTGGTGATCCTAACTGACCTAAGACAGGGAATTTTTACTAGGATTAAATGTCAGGAATTGTGAAAAACTGAGTTTAAATTTATTTGGGTAAAGTGTATGTAAACTTCCGACTTCAACGTTGCAGACCAGTTGCAGCACACTTGGGTTCACATTTAAAAGATCTACAGTTTTATAGTATGAAATAGCCTCGTTATCAGATTTTTTTATTATTTTTTGTAGCAAATATTTTCTTACTAATTTTGTAACATTTATTCTGCATTGTTGGTTAAGGGCTTGTAAGTAAGCATTTCATGGTAAGGTCTACACCTGTTGTATTCGGCGCATGTGACAAACACGATTTGAATTTTTGATTTGAGCAAATGAAGTGTGTGTGTGAGTTTGTGCATAGAATCAGTGCGATAAATATATAATAGAAGGGTCAATGCAGATCGTATGTCTGGCCATTTTGTTAGTCTTATGGCTTAAGTATGCCCCATTTTTTTTTTATTACAAACTGAACCCATAGACTTAAAAGGTTGTAGACAAACTTGACATTTATTTATGTAACCTTTAACTTGGCAGGTCAGTTAAGAACAAATTCTTATTTACAATGAAGGCCTACCAAAAGGCCTCCTGCAGGGATGGGGGCTGGGATTAAAAATGAAAATATAGGACAAAACACACATCACGACAAGAGAGACACCACAACACCACATAAAGAGAGACCTAAGACAACAACATAGCATGGTAGCAACACAACATGGTACAAACATTATTGGGCACAGACAACAACACAAAGGCAAGAAGGTAGTGACAATAATACATCACGCGAAGCAGCCACAACTGTCAGTTAGAGTCATAAGAGACATACCTGAGCACAGGTACATAATTCCAACATAAAATATTAGTTGACGTTCATTCCTTTCTGCCTACATCTCCCAGTGAGCGCTGAGCTGAGCAAGGGGCAATTTAATATGACGTTGTTGCACTATAAAGCCCCTCCCCTTTCCTCGTCACATCCTCTTTCAAGTTGGTGTCCTCGCTTTAGTGGTAAGTGACATAGAATGCTATTCCGAAACGAATCCAAACTAATCTGAAATAATTTGTTGCCATCCGTTACATCTAAGAACTTTGTTATATATTTTATTGCAGACACATCTCCACAAGATGAGAGCAAAGGTAAATGATGCATTTCAACGTTCTTATTGGCGGGTTTGTGTTTGGCTCATTGTCACTACTAGTCAGTGGCTAGCTGGCTACCTGACGCTAGACAAACCTTCCTCTAGCGTCCTTTATTTTAGAACTTAACTGTTGTACAATATTGTACTAGTAGGAAACTCTTCGTCGGTGTTTTTAATTAAAAAATGTAATCCAGGATTTGCCTCGTCCATGGCGCTCTATATTATAAAAATATATATAAACGCAACAATTTCATTTTTTTTTTTTTTACTGAGGTACAGTTCATAAGGAAATCACTCAATTGAAATAAATAAATTAGGCCCAAATCTATGGATTTCACGTGACTGGACAGGTGCGCAGCCATGGATGGGCCTGGGAGGACATAGTGAGCATTTCTCCTTCGCCTAACGGGTGTAAACATTTGTGCACAAAATTTGAGCAATAAGCTTTTTGCGTATGATAAATTTCTTGGCTTTTTCATTTCAGCTCACGAAACATGGGACCAACGCTTTACATGTTGCGTTTATATTTTTGTTCAGTATAGTTGGGTAACATCGTAGTTAAACTAGATTACACTAGCTAATGGCACACATGAAAGATACTAGCAATGTTGCATTTGTAGACTGCAGTAATGGCTTGTCAGGCTAAATGTGACTGCTTTCCAGTGCCACGCGTAACGTTACTGCAGGTTTGGGAATATTGTTTTGATGTATGGTCTGCAGTGCCTAGGTTACCCATATGCCCACGTCATATGTTTAGCTCAGCAGTGTGCTGTTAACAAATTACTTGGCTTGTTTGAATGTGTTTCACTTGACTAAAGCATGTTTCTGTGTTCTTTTACAGTGGAGGAAGAAGCGTATGCGCAGGTAAGAATCATTAATTGCCTTATTTCTTGCTTTACATATGAATGGTACAAGTTGCTTTGTCATTAGCAAAGTATGAAAAATATCACATTTCTGATGCGAAGCCTAAAATGTTGCCTACCATTATTTTAGATCCTGATATGGGAGTTCAAATTCATTTTTACCTGATTAGATTGCCTGCAAATAAATTAGTGTTCATATCGAATTGTAGTTTATTGGTCACGTACACAGATTTGCAGGTGTTATAGCTGGTGCAGAGAAATGCTTATATAGTATAATGTCTCGCATCTACAATACAAATGACCAAAAATCTAAACAAATCAATAGTCCCAGTCTGAAGCAGGTATGGTCTTCAAGCAATAGCGCTCGCCAGCTTGTAGTCCTAAAAACCGGAAATGAATTACCTAGTTCGTTCAGCCATTCCTATGGGGGATGAACGGCAAAAATGTCTGAAGTTAACACTGGCTTAGGAGATCTTTGTTCTGAGAGTATACCAAACATTAGGAATACTTTCCTAATATTGAGTTGCATAGTAACTGTAGGGACTTAAACAATCTAAACTGACATGGCTGTGTATAGTTTAGCTTATAATGTAGCGCTGTTCACTCATTGTTCTCTTGTCTGTAGGCTGAAGCGTAAAAGGCGAAAGATGAGGCAGAGGTCTAAGTAGACTGGCCCATACCCTACAGCTGTTATCCCTCTCCAAGCCCTCTCTGGTGATTGAAGTCTGATGTCCATGATGTGCTGAGAGCTGAACATGGTCATCTGAAGCCAACATTGCAATGGCGTAAAGGACAGATCCCGGCTACCCAGCCCTTTACTCTGCAAATGGTCACTGGCTGATGACTACTGGAGAATGGCAAAGAAGACTTGAGAATGAATCTCCTGTTGAACTCTGGCCTTTTACCATCTCCCCAGCTGATTTGTTGTGAAGACCGTAATAAATATTTGGTTTACTAACTACATATTCCTGCCTGTCATTGCTTTGGTCATGTCTTTCAAGCCACATGCACCACACTTGCGTTAGACCTACAGTAAAATCATTACGTTATGAAGGCATGTTAACTGCTTGTTAGACTATTTCTAGAACCAGAGGCAACTCCTTTTGAAGCCCAGTTGCAGCACACTTGGTTTCACATTTAAACGATCTACAGTTTTATAGTATGAAATTGCCTTGGGTATTGAGTAATATGGATTTAAGTGCAGGTTCTTGAGTGTCCATAAGGGTAGCCTTTTGGGGTCTATTGGGGGGGGTTAAAGCTGACATCTGCAAGAGGCCAGATTACAATTGTGCAAAGTGTCCTGAACAATGGCTCCTGGTCAGTCTCGCAAACCATGATTAATGGTACTATAAAAAATATAATTGCTTAGAAGGTTTTAGATCAAATAAACGGGTCAGTTTTGGAGCTCTTATCTAGTGGACAAGCAACTAATGGGAACATGTATTGTACAACTATCCCAATCCCCCAAAATGCATGTTTGTTCTGAGAAAGACTAACTCCATCCACTTGGGCCAACAGTGAGTCGTTTTGTATGCACACCCTGCTATGAAACACCACAGAAAAAGAAGTGTAAACAGAACGATATGGCCGACGAACGGGGTGGCGGCGACAATATCAACATGGGCAACCAGCTACAACTCTTACCCGGTACAAATGTCTTCAATTTAATTGCATTGGTAGACTAGTGTACTGAAGCATACGTTGGCTATTGTAATAGGAACTTAAAGCGTCGATACGCACGCCGAAATCTGTTAAGCATTCTGCAAAGAAACGAGGCCACACTTCACGTGACAGCATAATGATCTCATTCAATCACTCGCAGTGAAGCAAGTTTTTATCTTCACAGATTGCTTGTTTCATAATTAAAAGAGAATTATCTTGCTAGTTACATAGCTAAGGGATTGTTTCAACAGACAGTAAGTAAACTGTCTAGTTAGCTAGCTACCATGCATGCTAATGTCATTTAATTCCCAGCTGCTAATCATGTCAGTCTGCTAGTAATAGCTTGCCAAAGCTAGGTTTTCTGATCTGGGTGTTATTAAAGGTGATCATCTTCCAAATGCATCTTCATGTCCAACAGTTTATTGTCAACGCAACGACTCAGGGAAATTGTTTTACAATGGGGCGATTTGAAGGTAAAGAGAAAGTACATATTTGCTTTCTTATAGGCACTTAAACTATTATTCTTATAGAAGAGGAAGAGGAGGATGAGATGGAGACTGAGGACCGCGATAGTGAGGATGCAGAAAAACCAAGCATAAACTTTGACCCCAGTCTTCCAACTTCACATGCTGTGGGTTTCATATTTACATCTATAAAGTATTGTTGTACAGCTGTATCATTGAGTATACAGTTCTGGGTTTTCTACACTGCACTAATGCTTCTGCCCCCCTCCTCCCAGTACTTGGGTTTAGACATGGAAGAGTTCCATGGGCGTACGGTGCACGATGACGACAGCTACCAGACAATCCCAGTGCTGCCATTCACAGCCGTCATGCTTATACCTGGACAGACCCTGCCGCTGCAGCTCTTCAGACCGCAGGAGGTCAGCATGATGCGTAACATCATCCAGAGAGACCGCACCTTTGCTGTGCTTGCACACAGGTAGGGAGGGAGAGGAGGACAGAGTGGGAAGACTGGGAATGGGCTCAGTTTAGGGTGATCACATGTCCCGGATTGTGCGGGTTCAGTCCTGCATTTTGGCCCTTTGTCCAGCAAACAAATAATCTTCCCGCATTTTATCAACAAATTTGAGCGGTTTGCTGATGTCAACGTTGTGAACAGAGTTACCCCATGGTGGGCTTATGGTATGGCCAGGCATAAGCTACTGACAATGAATACATTTGCATTTTATCTATGGAAATTTGAATGCCATTCATCCAACGCCATCACCTCATGTTTCAGCCTGATAATGCACGGCCCCATGTCGGAAGGATCTGTACACAATTCCTGGAAGCTGAAAATGTCCCAGTTCTTCCATGGCCTGCATACTCACCAGATATGTCACCAATTGAGCATGTTTGGGATGCTCTTTACGACAGCGTGTTCCAGTTCCCGCCAATATCCAGCAACTTTGCACAGCCATTGAAGAGGAGTGGGAAAACATTCCACAGGCCATTATGCCCCGTGTAGCTCAGTTGGTAGAGCATGGCGCTTGCAACGCCAGGGTTGTGGGTTCGATTCCCACGGGGGGCCAGTATGAAAATGTATGCACTCACTAACTGTAAGTTGCTCTGGATAAGAGCGTCTGCTTAATGACTAAAATGTAAATGTAAATAATCAACAGCCTGATCAACTCTATGCAAAGGAGTTGTGTCGCGCTGCATGAGGCAAATGGTGGTCACGCCTGATACTAACTGGTCTTCTGATCCATGCCCCTACCTTTTTTTTTAAAGGTATCTGTGACAAACAGTTGCATATCTGTATTCCATAGATTAGTGCCTGATGAATTTATTTAAGTTGACTGATTTTCCTTATATGAACTGTAACTCAGTAAAATCTTTGAAATTGTTGCATGTTGCGTTTATATTTTTGTTCAGTATATATTGTGCAGTGTAGTAAAGTTAGATCAAAGCTGAATCAATGTATTGGAAGATCACATAATAATGAATTAGTATTCTACATAACAGACCCAAATATAATAGCATAGTATAACGTTACTGTTACACCAAAAACACCACCAAAGTTCTTATGAGCTTTTAGGATGGTTAGCTGAATAGTCCCAAAAAAATGATCATGCTGCCAAAACTCAACAGCACACACCACTAGGCAGAACGTGCTTTGATTGAAACAAAGTACAGGACGGCTATATTTGTAAACACCATCTTCTCTAATTTGCTCACGAAACAGTAATTCAAGAAGATCTAAATGCATATTCCAATGAAACCGATTGAGATCAAATGATTTATATACAGATGCAGACATTACACCATAAAATGTGAATAATTGTTATTTACGATTGACAGTGATAATGGCATATTTAGAAATTAAGTATGCCTAACTTGGTGTTTGAGGCTATTCAAAATAGAAAATGTTCTTGAGAAAATATGTGTGGGCGTAGGCGGGCATTGGGCATAGGCAGGGGTGGGGAATGTGAATGTCCCGCAAAATCATCCTGTTTTTAATGTGGTTACCATAGCTGTGTTCCAATTGGCTACCCCTCTCTACAAAGTTTTCTCTTGCTCACTCTCTGTCATGTATTTGAATGCATTGGATTGGTGTGTCGTGTGTGAGCACAGTAGGGTGTTCTTAATTAGATGTTTGTGTCTGTCTGTACCCCTCACCTCACCCTCCAGTGACACAGGCGAGGTGCAGGCAGAGTTTGGGACGACGGCTGAAATCTATGCTTACCGGGAAGAGCAAGAGTACGGCATCGAGACGGTCAAAGTGAAGGCAGTCGGACGGCAGCGGTTCAAGGTCCATGAGATCAGAACCCAGGCCGACGGGTGAGTGGAACTAAACATTACTGACCAGAACCACCTGAAACCTCGTAAAGGCATTATTATCTTCATGGCCTTATACAGTGAGGGAAAAAAGTATTTGATCCCCTGCTGATTTTGTACGTTTGCCCACTGACAAAGAAATTATCAGTCTATAATTTTAATGGTAGATTTATTTGAACAGTGAGAGACAGAATAACAACAACAAAAATCCAGAAAAACGCATGTCAAAAATGTTATAAATTGATTTGCATTTTAATGAGGGAAATAAGTATTTGACCCCCTCTCAATCAGAATGATTTCTGGCTCCCAGGTGTCTTTTATACAGGTAACGAGCTGAGATTAGGAGCACACTCTTAAAGGGAGTGCTCCTAATCTCAGTTTGTTGCCTGTATAAAAGACACCTGTCCACAGAAGCAATCAATCAATCAGATTCCAAACTCTCCACCATGGCCAAAACCAAAGAGCACTCCAAGGATGTCAGGGACAAGATTGTAGACCTACACAAGGCTGGAATGGGCTACAAGACCATCGCCAAGCAGCTTGGTGAGAAGGTGACAACAGTTGGTGCGATTATTCACAAATGGAAGAAACATAAAAGGACTGTCAATCTCCCTCGGCCTGGGGCTCCATGCAAGATCTCACCTCGTGGAGTTGCAATGATAATGAGAACGGTGAGGAATCAGCCCAGAACTACACAGGAGGATCTTGTCAATGATCTCAAGGCAGCTGGGACCATAGTCACCAAGAAAACAACTGGTAACACACTACGCCGTGAAGGACTGAAATCCTGCAGCGCCCGCAAGGTCTCCCTGCTCAAGAAAGCACATATACAGGGCCGTCTGAAGTTTGCCAATGAACATCTGAATGATTCAGAGGAGAACTGGGTGAAAGTGTTGTGGTCAGATGAGACCAAAATCGAGCTCTTTGGCATCAACTCAACTCGCCGTGTTTGGAGGAGGAGGAATGCTGCCTATGACCCCAAGAACACCATCCTCACCGTCAAACATGGAGGTGGAAACATTATGCTTTGGGGGTGTTTTTCTGCTAAGGGGACAGGACAACTTCACCGCATCAAAGGGACGATGGACGGGGCCATGTACCGTCAAATCTTGGGTGAGAACCTCCTTCCCTCAGCCAGGGCATTGAAAATGGGTCATGGATGGGTATTCCAGCATGACAATGACCCAAAACACACGGCCAAGGCAACAAAGGAGTGGCTCAAGAAGAAGCACATTAAGGTCCTGGAGTGGCCTAGCCAGTCTCCAGACCTTAATCCCATAGAAAATCTGTGGAGGGAGCTGAAGGTTCGAGTTGCCAAACGTCAGCCTCGAAACCTTTAATGACTTGGAGAAGATCTGCAAAGAGGAGTGGAACAAAATCCCTCCTGAGATGTGTGCAAACCTGGTGGCCAACTACAAGAAACATCTGATCCCTGTGATTGCCAACAAGGGTTTTTCCACCAAGTACTAAGTAATGTTTTGCAGAGGGGTCAAATCCTTATTTCCGTCGTTAAAATGCAAATCAATTTATAACATCTTTGACATGCGTTTTTCTGGATTTTTTTGTTGTTATTCTGTCTCTCACTGTTCAAATAAACCTACCATTAAAATTATAGACTGATCATGTCTTTGTCAGTGGGCAAACGTACAAAATCAGCAGGGGATCAAATACTTTTTTCCCTCACTGTAAGTAGAGATTGGCCGTGTCCAAAATCTGTTTTGCCTACTACTTACTAAAACTACATACGGTGTACTAATAGTACTACCTACTAGAACGTACTGTTTAATAAAAACATATGCATTAAGCAACAAATATCAACATACTACTCATCCATACTGAGAAGGCATCATCTAATGCTCAATCTCGCTTGTTCCCCTATTCTGATTATCAGCTGTTATCAAACACACGTCGGTGTAAAAATATGATTATCTTCCTCAATAGTGTGCAGCGAATTCAACTAGATGAAAAGCCGAAGTTAGTATGACATCCTGGAATTTAAAGCATACTCAATAAAAAAAATGTCATACTATAAAACGTTCTACTATTTAGAATGCAAGTATGGGTATTTCGGACACTGCCTCTATGTACAGCATGTATGAGTAAGAAATATTTTGCAAGTGATACCACAAGATGGCAAACTCACTCTTTTTATCCTTTTGGTAGAAAAGCACAATACACTATTCCCTGCAAGGGGTGGGCAATCAGTGGTTCATTTGGGAGGTCCCTCCATAGTCCTTAATGATTACAAGCATACCCATAACATGATGTAGCCACCACTATGCTTGAAAATATGGAGAGTGGTACTTAGTAATGTGTTGTTTTTGACCCAAACATAACACTTTGTATTCAAGACTAAAAGTTTATAGTGTTGTCAATTTTTTTGCAGTATTACTTTAGTGCCTCGTTGCAAACAGGATGCATGTTTTGGAATATTTATATTCTGTACAGGCTTCCTTCTTTTCACTCTGTCCATTAGGTTAGTATTGTGGAGTAACTACAATGTGGTTGGTCCATCCTCAGTGTTCTCTTATCACAGCTATTAAACTTTGTAACTGTTATAAAGTCACCATTGGCTTCATGGTGAAATCCCTGAGCGGTTTCCTTCCTTTCAGGAAAATTAGTTAGGAAGGACGCCTCTATCTTTGTAGCGACTGGGTGTATTGATACACCATCCAAAGTGTAATTAATAACTTCAGCATGCTCAAAGGGATATTCAATGTTTTATTTTTACCCATCTACCAATAGGTGCTCTTCTTTGCGGGGCATTGGAAAACCTCCCTGGTCTTTGTGGTTAAATCTGTGTTTGAAATTCACTGTTCGACTGAGGGACCTTACAGATAATTGTATGTGTGGGGTACAGAGATGAGGTAGTCATTCAAAAATAATGTTAAACACTATTATTGCACACAGTGAGTCCATGCAACTTATTATGTGACTTGTTAAGCACATTTGACTTGAACTTATTTAGGTTTGCCATAACAAAGGGGTTGAATACTTATTGACTCAATACATTTCAGATTTTAAAAAATCCACTAACATTATGGGGCTTTCTGTGTAAGCCAGTGACAAATCTCAATTTAAACAATTTTAAATTCAGGCTGTAACACAACAAATATGGAAAAAATCAAGGGGTGTGAATACTTTCTGAAGGCACTGTATTACAGGATACTACAGGTTACGGAGGGACCTACAATTATTTTGGGGAGAATGACTGTGAGAAGAGAGCGAAGGTCATTCTACTCGAAAATGAATTAAAATATATTGATGCTGACATCTAAAATATAATTTCCCCCTCCAGAAATGAGCCCAATAACATATTGGTCCATATTATCAGACAGGTGGGATATTTAGCAACAAGCATTATCACCTTTTATACAACGGGTGGGTCTAATCCTGAATGCTGATTGGTTAAAACTGCATTCCAGCTGGTGTCTATTTCACAAGTTACCACTGGCTAAATCTATGACGTTGAAATACCTATTTACTCTGTTCCATCTGACTGCGCAATCCACTGTCTCATCAACCCTGCAAGGAAATGTATTAACTTGATCTCCACTATAAAAAGCATCTAGACATTATCTCCCATTTCTTTTAGACTAGCATTTGGTTTTCAACAGCAGAGATTTGTATAAACCTTGCTGTCTGTCTCTCCGACCTTTTCAATATTGAATCTCCACCGTCCCATATCAAGTGAATGTGTCCGAACGAGACAGACAGCAAATTGAGCTGCTTGTCATAGCAACAAACAACACTTTTTTCCCAGTTGACTGGCTAAATCGATACTTTGTTGCGAAAACTAAAATGAGTGGAACATGACTAAGGATGAATGAATCCAGGCTCTGACGTAGCCGGCCGCGACCGGGAGACCCATGGGGCGGCGCACAATTGGCCCAGCGTCGTCCAGGGTAGGGGAGGGAATGGCCGGCAGGGATGTAGCTCAGTTGGTAGAGCATGGCGTTTGCAACGCCAGGGTTGTGGGTTCGATTCCCACTGGGGGCCAGTATGAAAAAATTTTTTTTTAATAATGTATGCACTCACTAACTGTAAATCGCTCTGGATAAGAGCGTCTGCTAAATGACAAAAAAAAAAGGAATGTTTTTCCTAAACAAATGAGGGATTTCGGTAACAGAACTTTTCAGTCAGAAATGCCTGTAATTATGTTGTAGCTTCAGCAACACGGAGAGCGCGATAAACACTTTGATGTTCTGTGGTGGTCGCTGCAGCAGGGAGGAGAGAGACAACCGGGTGCTAGTCAGTCATTCACTCTTACATTTTTTTTACACAGCGCAGAAATTCTGGGCCCGGCCCGGCACAATTAAGTCCATTGCTGGTCGGACTCCCTCTAGTCATTTGTGTGTCTTAATTACAGTGGCTTGTGAAAGTATTCACCCCCCTTGGCATTTTTCCTATTTTGTTGCATTACAACAGCCAACCCCAATAAGCGGCCCGCGGGCCAGATCCGGCCCGCAAGAGCCAAATGTCTGGCCCACACTGACAGCATTGGCATTCACTTGTTATAATAAACATGAATTTAATATCCGCGGCTCTGCTTTATTTTGAAATTATCCCACACCTTGACCTGTGGCCTTTACCGCGTGCATACATAAGACGTGCTTCGCGCGCTTTGCGTACTCGTCTCCACTCGACTAGCTACCTAGTGTAGTGTCACACACACACAGTAGCCGCAGCCGCTCGCCAGTTAACCCTCTTTCATCAAAAGGACTGACCACTTCCTCACAAAAAAGTATTAAATCCAGTCAAACCAACATGGCATTCGCCAAGATACGCAAGGTAGACCAGGAGAACCGTCAGTTCAAAACTGACTGGACTGAGAGGTATTGCTTTTTTTGCTGTAATCAAAGCGGACAATCTGAAGCGGCATTTTAACTCTATTCATGCTGCCAGTTTTAATGCAAACTACCCAGAAAAATCAGCGACTTTTTTAGCTTTTTAACTGACAACAAGGTGATATCAGATGTTACTTTTTTGTGTGACATCATG